AATGTGCCTATGCGAGGAATCTTGCTGGTTGCAGCATCTATTATCAGAGAGGTCGGTTCACAGCATGTGGTGCAGCAAGTTGACTTACCATATTCCCCACTAGCTCCAAAGTCATATTCGTTGATACAGATCACTTGCCTGCCCGTGATTCAAGGGTTGGGGACCTCGTCCAAAATGATGTCGAGGCCAAGCTTGTGTACCAGATTACCGAGGCGTTCTTGAAATCGGGAGTCCAGGAGGACCAGATTGGAATCATGTCTCTTTATCGCCAGCAGATAAAACTTCTGTCCCACCTTCTTCAAGACAGGAAGGATATAGAGATCCTCACAGCTGACAGAAGTCAAGGACGCGATAAGGACTGTATTATAATCTCCATGGTCAGATCCAACGACCAGGGGCAGGTACGTTCTATCGGTTGCAGCTATACAAATGCAGCACGAGCTAACGCTCCTTGTGCAGATTGGAGACTTACTCAAGGACTGGCGGCGAGTCAATGTATCGTTCACACGTGCACGGGCGAAGTTGATCATCATCGGCTCCCGAAAGACCTTGAACTCGACTAAACTTTTGTCGGTGTTCTTAGCGCTCATGGACGAGTGGGGCTGGATATTGACGCTGCCTGCCAATGCAGATGTCAAGCACCCGGCATTCCAAAGCGAACGGTGTGGTATTCGCAGTCCTGCGAAGCGAAGTAAGGAGAATGGAACAACGGCTAGTATTAACGAACCGCTATCGAAGAAACCGAGAACTCCGAGAATCGAAGAGGGGATCCTCAAGGGCCGGCCCATCTTACAGGACGTCGTCAACGATGGGAAGTGATCACATCTTGGGCAAATATCATCACACACTTGATGCCATATGTAAGTATTTTCTTGTTAATCATAGCACTATCACACCTACACTGGATAGATATATATCTCTCCTACACCCGTGACCTCGATGTACTTAATAAAACGTACCACCACCTTGAGTTTCCTCGCAGTATCGATTGGCTTGTTCAACCCCAAACCTGATAATTTGTGTCACGTTTCCAAACCGGCACGGACATTTGTTCCTGTAAAAGCAAGCAGGAGATAGTATCATGATCACAACATCAATGCATTTGGTCATGTAGAACTTAGGGTAATAATTATCACAGGGTCCGAGATTTCTCAGTCTAGACTGTCTATACTAGTATTGTTATTGGCTACATGACGTGCTTTCCTAACAGATTAGTCAGCGACTTCGAATTCTTACTCGTGCCTTCCGATCGGGACGATATGTGAAGTTGAGTGTCCTGCTTTGTCTGCCTGCATCAATGTCCCTGCCTTCATTGTTACTGCAGACACCCTCCCGAGTTATGGCGGATGATATTCAGTGGTCACTAGTACTGTTGTTGGGATGTCAGATACCACGCCTTGCAACCGAGGAGGCCCGGAAAGCACAATTTACCGTCTCACCCTGTGGTACTTTGAATCTCCACTTGGTGTTTAACACATAAAGGTACTCCGACGGTCGGATCGCAACGGCAGACATTCAAGTTGTCGATCAATTAGTAAGTACATACGAGGTTAGTTTCCTTAGACTGGAGGAGTGAACTTGATCGAGCATTACATTATGTACTACTATGACCAACCTCACATGTTTGCCGGCCATGGGACCGAACAACAAAATGCATTTATGTTGACAACCTCCGACTTTCGGTGTGCTTTCGTCCCCTCCCTAGTCTTCACTACACGATTGAGATGTCATCGAGACCTGACAGCTTTGCAGAGGTCCCTTTGGCTACTCCCGACACTCCTTTGAATAGCAAGCACCCTCTTTGGATTTCGACTTCCGAGACAGCAACTACTACTCCCCGCGACTCCTTCATTTACACTTCATGCAACTCTTCTTCACTATCACCATCTCAACAGCCAGGTCTCAAGTGTGGGGAGGAAATCACATCCTCGCCAGATTCAAAGAAGGGTGCTGCATACGTACGCCCCGTTCTATTGTTTCTCTCCGCTGTTCTGGTAGCAGTTGCGGTGGTAGTACCAGTCTACTTTGTTGTGATCAAACACCAGCATCATGAGTCGGACATGAGCGAAGGAACTAGTTCTTCGGACCCTTCGTCCATTGGTTCTAACGCCGGTCCAACTTACGGGGCAAATGGTTCTACGGTCACTACCTCGGACGGATCAACTTTCACATACATCAATCCATTCGGAGGATACTGTGAGTAGATTTATTCTTGCGTAGCAGGACTCCTGAAGGATTTCCTATGATATCGCATTCTTTGTTATACTGTTCAAGCTGCTGATACAATGCTCACAGGGATAGATGATCCTAATGATCCATTCAACAATGGTGCGCGTCCTAACTCGTGGACGCCACCGCTGAATGAAAGTTGGGTCTGGGGTACAAATAAAGTTAACGGGTAAGCCTAGTTGGCATGATGCAACCTTCTATGAGAGCCTAACATTTGAGTTCCTAGCGTAAATATTGGCGGCCTCTTTGTTCTTGAGCCGTTCATTTCACCTGCTCTGTTCCAGAGTTATCCAGAAGCCATTGATGAATGGTCACTAAGCACACTAATGGCTGCAGACACCCCCAATGGTGGATTGAACCAGATTGAGGAGCATTACAAGACGTTCATCGTGAGTTCATCGCCATTTCATGTGAGACGTCAATCAAATTAATTATCGTAGACCGAGCAGGACATCGCAGAAATTGCCGGTGCTGGGTTGAATTGGATCCGTTTACCTATACCATTTTGGGCCATTGAGAAGTGGGATTTCGAGCCTTTTCTCGAGCAGGTTTGCTGGCCGTAAGTGATGGCGTGAACGTCCAAGTTCACGTTAACGTTCTAACGGGTGTCACTGCGATTTTTCCAGATATATCTTGCGAGTCCTTCAATGGGCACGGAAGTACGGCCTTCGAGTCAATCTTGATCTTCACACAATTCCTGGCTCTCAGAATGGTATGCTTTGTCTCCAAAAATCGCTGTTGGGCAATCTAACATACTGCCTAGGTTTCAATCACTCCGGCAAATATGGGCAAATCAACTTTCTCAACGGAGTCATGGGTGTTGCAAACGCTCAACGCGCTCTTGGTTATATCAGGATCATTGCTGAATTCATTTCCCAGCCTGAGTGGAAGAACGTTGTACCGGTCTTTGGCATCATGAACGAAGCTAGGGTTGCTGTCATCGGCATGGATCAGATGACATCTTTGTAAGTTCTTGCCACTCTGTCTTCTTTCTGTAGTTCTCACACACGATATGTCCATCAGCTACCTGCAGGCCCACGATATGATTCGCAATATCACAGGTTATGGGGAAGGGAATGGACCGTATATTGCAATCCATGATGGTTTCCAAGGTCTTTCGTCCTGGGCAGGGTTCTTGGAGGGATCGGATCGGATCATTATGGATAGTCACCCTTATTTCGCCTTCAACGGTAATTCCAATACCGAGCCGATAGCGACAGGAACTGGGCTGGATGCTGGTGGCATTTGGCCAACTCTAGCCTGTTCGAAGTGGGCAACTGCGATGAATGCTAGGTAATCATTGAGATTGTGTCTCATTATCAAGCTAATACGTGACTGGCAGTCAAACAGCATTTGGCGTCACCTTCGCTGGCGAATTCAGCAATGGCTTCAATGATTGCGGACTGTATCTCAATGGGGTGGAGGATACGCAAGACGTGGCGCCGTCATGTTCTCTCTTTCTAGACTCGTCGCAGTGGAATGATACCATGAAGACCGGGCTCCAGCAATTCGCATTAGCGAGCATGGACGCCCTTCAGGACTGGTTTTTCTGGACTTGGAAGGTAAGCATTATTCCTTTCGACTTTTGATTGAACACAGGAATTGAGTGCGTTTTGACATTATTGTCTAGATTGGGCCGTCGTCTAACAATACAATTGCGTCTCCACTCTGGTCGTACCAGTTAGGATTGCAACAGGGATGGATGCCCACTGACCCTCGCATGGCTTCTGGGACTTGCGCTGCACTAGGCGTCACCGCTCAACAGTTCGACGGCGTTTATCAGCCCTATCAGACCGGTGGGCCTGGTGCGGGGACAATCAATCCCGTCTTAGTATCTTCGTATGGCCAGTATCCGCCCACGTCCATTAGTGGACTCACCGCAGGAGCTACACAATCCTTGCTTCCCACTTACACGTCGACAAGCGCCATCCCGACGCTGCCGCCACCTACCTTTACTCCAAGTCCTCCGAGTTCGGTCATCATCGGGAATGGATGGTATGATTCGTCTGATACTAATCTGGCTGCCACAGAAGTCGCTGGTTGTACATACCCTAATGCATGGGATGCCGTTAGTGTCCCAATGCCCACTGCTCTCTGCCCTCCCACCGCGAGTGCTAGTCCCAGCGCAGTTGTCACCTCTGCCCCTGCAGTCACGACTTCATCTTAATTACCGACTCAGGGACTTCAAGCATTCTTACGGGGACATCGAATACTGAGGATATTTAGCAAATGGCTCCTGAAGTTCCCTAGTGAGATAGTACATGATCTTTAATACGTCTAATGTGAGACTCAAAGGCCAACACCCGGCGATTTCATATCCGATTGGATTGATACATAGCGTAAGCTAGGTCTTCGCGCGGGGTAGACCTTCATTTCAATTTTTTATATCGAAATCTATATGATCTTCTTTGTCTGAGCCTACGGTGATCGTTCTATATAATACCTCATCTCCTCAAAGTCGATAGCTCCCTTCACGATTACAATTTTGTTTTCATCTTCTTGTGTGGGGCTCAGCTCCGCGGATTTCAATATTGTCAATCAGTTCTCTTGTCCTCACCAACATCGTGGACGGAAGGATGAGTGGTTTTCCCACTTCGAGGCAGCGCTCCGATGCCCCTTGCAACAAGACATGTTTCCGATCCGGTCATCTACCCGCAGAATCTCATATATATATATCATGAAAGCGAGAGACATAACTCGCTCGTGATCTGAAATGCAGCATTAGGAATTTCAGAATAAGCTCTGCACATATTAGATACCCTGCCGTTCCACTACTTTTTCTTCCCTCCCTTGCCTTTCCCACCAGTCTTTCCACCGTGCGAGACGCCAGCAGAAACAGGCCCAGTTTCAGCGCCAACAGTTGCACCTTGAGTCGCACCACCTCCTGCACCTCTACGCTTTTTCCCTTGTGTATAACTAGTTCGTTCTGACTTCTTCAGCCATCTTTCTGGATCCGGTGGAGGAGACACGCCTGGTATGACTCCCTTCGGTGCACGTTTTGTCCGCAATTTCGTTTTGGTTTCCACAGCCTCCGGCTTCTTCGTGGGTTCTTCCACAGAAACGAGGATCGAAGCTGGTTGGGAGAGAACGGGTGGTGGCGCAGATTCTAACGTTGAGGCATTAGAGCCAGGGAGTTGAGACATAGCTTGCATAAATGTAGTTGTGATGAAATCCTGGTGTGATTGGGAGGCTGATAGATTGGTGAGAATGTCTGCATGTTCATCCGAAGACTAAGGACGGTACATATACGTGAATGAGTTGCCAACTACTTGCAAAGCGCGCAACGTACAGGATCAGTTGTTTCAAGAAGTTCATTATAAATATTCAGGGATGACTGGTACGATCCTTGGCGATAGCTCTGCCAGATAAATTATTTTCGTTCTGATATTGGAATGACATGACCAGATGCTTACTAACTGAGCCTCCAAGTGCATCGCGCCTCTCTGCTCTGGCTCTTTTCCACTGCTCTTGATTTCCTTTAGCACCTGAGCAGCATCTTCTTCTCGCTGAAGACGATATAATGCATATACCCGCTCAAACGAACATTGTTCATTTATTTCAGCGATAAGTGCAAGGGCAGTGTCGTACTGCTCAGTTTGGAGAAGCAGGAAAAGCTTCGTCCGTAGTGCATCGCGATCACTTGGATCTAGACGCAAGACTATGGACTTCATCAATATCGGATCATGATAATTTTGAAACCGCATCACTGACTCTTATTGCATGTACGAATCGCATTTGTAAAGTGCCCACCATCAACTTGAGCGCAGAGGGAAGTAAACAGACGTTTCAGTCTGTCCGTTAGTGGAGCAGGCTGCTGCTTTTGTGGATGTCGCTGTCTTGAAGGAGTCTTGGAGGATGTCTGGCCTGCCTTGGCTGGTACAGGTTTGGGCGGGGGCGGCATCTTTGGTCGTCGGACTCGTTGGCGGCGATGGACGAAGTTGTGAACCACGTGTCACACTTCCTTTCTTGAATCAAATGTGACATAATCAGCCCAGTTCCCGTCACTGAAAGTATTGTTCACCCGCTACCATCAGACAATGTCGACAAATTTGTGAGCCGTGTGCTATATCTCACTATTTTAACCTTCAATAAACACATATAGGAAACCAGCAACTGAAGCGAAACTTGATACTGACACCCGGGACAAGATGGACACAGGACAAGAACCAGACTCTCAGCCTGCAAGAAAGCGGCCTCGCATTGACCTTGGTGTCGGCGAGCGCAAGCGAGGCAAGAGCATGTTTGGTATTGTTCTTGGCACGCTGAACAAGGCGAAGATTGAGGACAAAGAAAGGAATGCTAGTGAAGCAGTAAGCATAATCCATACACGCGTTTACTTATTGGAATGACGTATATATTTATCTTCAGGCTAAAAAGCGCCAGATGATAGACCAGCGGTTGCAAGCCAAGCTTCGCAAGGAGACTGACTCAGTTCGACGCTCTGAAGAAGCCAAGAAAGACCGGAACGCCGCAAATCGAAAGGAAGAAGAACTTCAACTCAAAGATTCAATCGTGCGTTTCACATTAATATTCTCTATCTTCCAAGAGCCAACGACCTTGTCTTTCAGTATAAGCTACGAAGAACACATTTGCCACTCTATTCTCACTTCCTATGTACATCTGACGACGTCCAATCCATTGACTCCATGGAAGACCAGCCGTCATCAATAACTCTTCTAGCTCTCCCAACACGATCGCACCCTCCACCTCTCTTTTATTTGCCTGCGATACTCACAGCATCACAGGAAGCATTTTTAGAAAAACGTAAATTCAAGGTGAGCTTAGTACCTGTAAATACACCGCGGTAGATGGCACGATATCTACTTTCACCATTATTGCATCGATTAATCCGGTACTAATATTTGCTACCTAGGTTAAGGAAGCAGCCGAATCCGAATGGTCCACCTTCCGCGGGGAGCGTACTGCCGGTATCGACGAAATTAAGGAGCTCCGACTACGTGTTGCCGAGGAGGACGCCAGAAGGAAGAAGGAAAAGAAAGATGAAACCGAGGCAGACGAAAAAATTCACGTCAACAAGGACGAGGAGATGACCTCCGATGAGCCCAAGCCTTCTGAATCGAAGGTGGAGGAGCGTGACTCTAAGACAGAAGAAAAGACGGAGGAACGCGAATCGAAGACAGAAGAAATGGAGGTAGATGTTGGAACGAAGGAGGAATCAGGCATGCGCGCAGACGATGAAGATGCAGTTGAATACTGATCTAGGTGAGTGAGTCCAAGGCGCTTTTCTGAGATTTGTTGGGCATTGATGATGGACCCTAGATTGAATAGTACAACTGTGCGTAATTAATTTGAAGGTGGTACAGTATATTTTTTTCTGTTCTAGGACACTCATGTGCGCTCAACTTGTTGTTCTAGTCGTCACCTGTAGTTCGGTCAATATAGTCAGATGTCGGATTTGCCCATAACTGATGAGCTAGTGGCCATATCTATATCCATCAATTTCGAATATTGCTCTTTGTTCCGGATTAAGTGGAACAAACCATGACGAGATATTGTTGGTATTGGCGTGGTAGGGTAATACAGCATGCAGCATGGTTCTCATCACGGTTGCTGTGTTGACTCCAGCCTGGTCATTGATTTTGGCGGTCCCGAACTCTAGACCCTAAGTACGCAGCTACCTCCATCTGTTGTGGCCACTATGCTTATCGCCGGAGTAGCATGAAAATAATTCTAGGAACGTACAATGACCTGCCACTGACGACAGAACGCTATCAACCACGTACAGCAAGTGAGGTCACACATACTGAGTCTTGTTGGAGACGGTGAGAAGGTGCGGTATGTCGATCACACCGCAAGGTTTCTCCCTGGGTGTCCTCGGACAGTCTCCAGCGTTAATCGATCTTACATGATGTATATAAGATGTGAGTCGCGCAAGATGCCTCACTCAAATTTGTGGTCCCAAATCGGCGCCGTACGCCAGAGCAATAAAGAAACCAAATTGTTCAGAGACGAGCCAAAAAGTGAGTAGTAGCATGTCAAGTTAATTCCGATTACTCTTTCTTGTCTTGCTCATTTTGCAGCTACCTCCGCCGGGCACGTATGTGCCAGATCATTATGTTGTTTGGCCGTCTGGCTTTCCTGTCCATGTTGCACTGCCGCATTTCGAGCCAATGACCATCCATCGGTATGTTCCCCTGTGCGAGATCTTGCACATATCCTTATTTGCGTATTCGTGGCAGCATCCTCGTCAGGATCGTCGTTCCATAGACCAATCTAGACCTAATTTTCCATCACGCCTTACGTGCTGCATGCCAGCCCTACATCTACTGGATATGAATTCATTATTCGAACCTGTTTCACAAGATTCTTCAAGTAATTCGGAGCCTCCGGTGATCTTGCCACAGATGATAGTTGGCCTGGCCTGCTGTTAAGCGATACAGGTTGTTCAACTTGGGATGACAGCTAGCCATTCCGGTGGTTTTGAGAACCCTGGACGACCAACTCCTTGGCTGGTACTTCCATTTCATGGCCATTGGCGGAGTGCCTTTGACAGACATTCTCAGACGTTCCGAGAGAATTTTCAGAAGAATTCACAGCCTATGTTCGCAATATCTCCCGGCAACCGGCTATCGTCTTCGAATCCAAGGATATGTGATCGGATGACGCTTGAACAACCTCAGGTTAGTTGTAGTGGTGACTATTTCCCACCTGTGACGTTCAGGAAGGGTTTAGGACACCGATTCCTTCGTTTTGATACCAAAGAGAACGCGCATTTATTCTAACGTCATATGGACATTCTTCACTCGCGATAGTTTTCAGGTGAGACTTCCGAGGGCCTGCTTGTCAACCTCTGGAAACAAGGAAAGTTCTTGACAGCAGACTAAAAATAACACACAAGTATAGCCATACTGCGTCTGATAGAACGAAGTATACCAGAACATGAGCTTGGGACTGTACTCGATTCATTACATGACAACAGAAAGAATGGGACGATAGCGATGCTAGCAAGTGTGACAACATACGAACTTCTATGCAATATGAGCCCTGCCGGCAGTACCCAAGGGGAAATAAAGGGGATAAGGGAAAAAAAAGCAGAAGACGAACACAAAAAGAAGATCACATACGTCTCTTTATCTTTAGATGTTTCTCCCGAACATGGCGCGACATGCTGTCGCGCCGCATGTCATGGACGTTTGGATCTGTGCGTTTACGATACTGGCAACCTCGCCAACGGCATCTACCCAACGCATTTTGAGCCCCTGATAATAAATGACTGCTCGTGAAATGCTCATTTAGATCATCCGGCAACCCTGCAAATCCGCAGGGCTTATTGTCTTCATTAAGCCAGTCGCAAAAAAGTGGCGAGGGTTGGGTTTCCTGAGTATGAGGTTTACGGCGACGCCCGGAACTCGGGCGAGAGAGTGAATTACGGTGAGGCGGATCTGGTCGTGGGTAGATGGGTGGCGAAGGTACCATGAACGGGGCTGGCTGATATGGAGGACCAGCTGGTTGCGAATTATGCTGCGTCCCAAAATCATGGGATGATTTAAGGTAGGAGCCGGGGGGCGCAAAACCTGTGTTGGGCGGGACATGTTGCGCTAAATAAGGCCTGTATATGGGGTAATTGTAAACAAAGTGGCTACTCGTAGATGATGGTGGACATACATTGTCGGTAAGCTGGATGGGGGGAGATTGTTCCCTATTACCGTGGTGTGGTACTGGGCACTATGAAGGCTTGGGGGGTTATGGAAAGGGGGGCCATAAACCGTGAATTTGTTCATGTTAGTTGCCGGAGGATGCGTATAAGTGGTTTGTGGACCAGGTGCGTTACTAGGCATCAATGGAATAAAATCGTTGGAAGGTATGCATGTGGTCGTTGGAAATCGTGGTCGTGTCGTATTGTCAATCATGGCATCATTCGACTGGGTATGGTTTTTGTGTGTGGAGAAATAGGCTGCTGAGGCTGCCTCACTGCCATTCGATGCATCACTCGAATTAATGGCGGCGTCGACGGACATGTTGGCGACGTGGCTCGACGGACCAGCGGCGAAGCCAAACGAGCTCGTTGCGGCATTGTCATTCGATGAGGTCGTGATGGGCGTCCTGCTCGGGGGGGCGAAGCTCCTCTCCCAGTGGTTGGCTGGTGTCGACAATCCAGAAAAATCAGTCTGACCAAAGTGACTAATAACGGTGTGAGATGTATGGTATGAGGAGGGAGTAATAGTAGTAGTAGACTAACCGTGATTCAAGGCTTGACATTGTATTCGAGTAATAGTGATAATCTGGATATCCAGGTGCTGCGGGCTGATTATCGAGGGGTATCGTCGAGCTCTGTCGCGCTAAGCGAGAGACCTTTGATAATGATCAGTGTAATGGGGAAGAAAAGTCCGAAAAGTACTACCATGTTGACGGCGGTGGGAGGCGCTGTGGTATAGTGTTGCTCGGTTGGTTGCTGAATAGTCTGGTATGCTTGTCCTGTAGAAGGACAATGAGAAGATGCAAATATAAATGGATGGGACCCACCGATACTAGGGATCGAGGCAGTCATCAGTAGGTGAGAAGGGGGGGACATCGTCGTATAGTATTGCTGGTGTCGCTGCGGAACAGTCTGGCGTGCTTCTCCTGTGGGTGGGACACCAGATGCGATACCAGACATTGGGGCAGCCGGAAATTGGTAAGAAGGGGGGGGCGTCATGGCAGAAGAACGAACGGTGAACAAGGTACTCTTGCGACGAAGGCCTTAAAAACGGGAAAGGGACTGGCCACGACCGGCCAAGTGCCTAATTTGAAGAAGATCTTCTAGAAACGCCGACCAGGCCATGCCAATGGCGAAGGCGAATACTGTGAACCACGAATAGGTGTATGCTGGATAAAGGGGGAAATGGCGGCAGCCCGGCCATGGAACACGTTTTTTTGAACGCGGGAGTGTAGCATAGTTACTTGGGCTACTAAGAGTTAGCTAGTAATAAACGGCGGAAACTGGGATCTAGGATCCATGTCCCTCGATCGAGTAAAAGCTGTACGGAGAAACAGCTGAAGTTGAAGTTGTGGCACTACACTGTGCCGATCGGAGGGGACGGATTTTATGGGTGAATTGTGGGTGCATACTGTGAGTGGGAGAAAGCAAAGACATAAAGACGCTGATATCTGGTTATTATGTATTTAGTCCTTGGCGAGGGAAAGGACATTTCCGAGCCTTTTGAGCATGGGAGTCTATCGTATCACTCTGAACCGAATTTGATCGGTTGATCAACTAGATATTTCTGATTGATGAGTCTCACCAAAGTGGATGAGGCTCGAGGTTAATTGCGTGGGCAACTAGCTCAGCCATTGGCACCACGACATGTGCTCATTGCTCGAGCTCAAGGATCTAATTGAAATATGTTGGAAGTATTGTTTGGGCTTTTGAGCGGTCGTACCTATGTCCGTTGTGGTGCGAACAAGTCTATTAATATTACTAACCCAGCGCCTGATAGTGCTCGTTCGCGGCGAGCAATTGCTAGTGGGTTACGGCCTGTTTGGGGTAGCAGTGATCGACGATCGGTCCCTGGCACCACTAGGAACGTCGAGCTCGTGTTGAGCGTCATGGTTGACCGAGCAGTCAGTCACTTAAGAGGCGTCGATCATTGACAAATCACTTAAAAGTTAATATCATGGATCTCCAACTCAGACTGACATCGTCATTTCCTTAAGCTTATTTCTGATACTAAATCACGCCTTTAAATCCGAGGTGATTAGTCGGCGAAGAATCGATCAAACATGAAGGCAAAAACCATATACTGAACTGAAAGAAACCAAAATACCGGACTGAATACTGAAGTGGCAACGACGTATGAAATACGCCAAAAGATAACCAGTATACAGAATTCGAACACATCATATTATTTCTCCAGCAGCCGAAAATAGATGGCTCAACATGGAATATGCTCAAGAAGTCGTGGACAAATATACGGTCCTGGAAATGTCTTATGAAAGCACGGGCCGCAGTTTGAGCCAGAGAAGACAGTCCTCCAAGGGAAAGGAAAGCTTCCTTTCGTGACTTCGACGGAGCGGAACAAGGGAACAGACCAATAATCAATTTGCGTTATCAGTATTGTTTTGTGGTGCTGCAAGGACACAGTTTCATTATCCTAGATTAACCTGAAAAGCGCTGACCCTGAAGTCGTATCTGCGTTATGAATGAGACCAAGCTCCGTCAATATCCTTGCTCAGTCGGCCCATGGTAAAGTTGCCGGGGTGGGGTTGTGCCGAGGGTATCGAGGCACCAAATACAATCAATATTGATACAGTTTATGTAATTTAAGCTAGGTGTGACGCGGATCACATGACCGTCTACTGAGATATCATTTATTTTTAGCATCACTCCTCAGCAACTTTGTATATTTTTTTCTCGTAAATTTGACAACTCATATATATGGGCCCAATCATATACCCTCTACATAAACTTGAATTTTACTGAATTTTCAGACCGTATAGTATTGTGCCGGAGGAAGGTTGAGAAAAATGCTAATCCACAGTCACACCTACTATGAGGCTTTAGTACGAGATGTACCTTGCTGGTGCTCACGCCGCTTCTGTTTTACGTGTTCTTGAGTTTTCTGGCCAGGAAGGCAATGCTGGGGATCACTGGCACCACAATAACACATCTTAAAATCAGGATACGAACAGAGGACTGGCCATGGCCAACGCGACCATCAGCCAACGAAGGTTATATTCTAGAAGACATAGCCTACCAAGCCACATGCATCGACATATTTGAAGGCCGTGGCGTGACACAAGGATGCCATGGGACTTATCATTGATAAAGAAGGTAATGGATCGGTCACAGGGATTTAGCACAGTCAATCCAATTAACAAGAGGTAGCTAGCAGAGGACAGATGATGGCAATTAGGTTCCTCAGCGATGAAATTCTGGATCGAGGAACATCTTAGTTGAATTGAACACAGCGTAATGCTTGATCCAAGTGAATCTACCATGGCGAACCAGAGGCAGCGGGGGAGTGGGAAAAATGTAGCGAGATTAAAGGCACTGAGTGCTCTGAACCGTTTATCATGTGCTTATTGTGAGATAAGGACAAGCGAAATGAAATGTCCGAGCACCGTGAGATGGGAGCAGGACCTGTATGTGAACATTTGAAGTCTATCTAGTAACACTTCGATCAGTTAATTGCCTACTGAACTGTATCGCAAGAAGGGGACGGATCAAGGTCAATCGAGGTTAGACGCATAACCAGTGCATCGTGATGACGCTTAATGCAAACGAGTTTAACATGGCGAAACGGAGGTAATGGATGAGCCTGAGTGAGAGAAAGGTAATGACATCAAAGACAAGCTCTGGTTTATTATGTGCTAATTGTGTGATACGCAAGGACGAGCGAAAGGAGGTGTCCAAGCGCTGTGATCTGAGTTGTGGGAGCAGGACCTGCCAGCGTCATATGTGAATGTTTGGAGTCCATCATGATCCATGTAAGCTTGTAGCACTCTGAGTAGCGGATTACTTACTGATAGCAAGAGAAGAAGAGAGCAGATGAAGGTCGTGGTTATGCTACACTAAGAGGAAGATCATGGAATAAAATAAGTGGTATCGTGACGAACATAAAAAGATCGGATGATCCTCTTCACCCCCGGATGGGTTTCCCCAAGAGGACAATCAAGAACATTGGAGAAAATGCGTAATATCGTGACGAACATAAAAATTTTGGACAATCAAGAGTATTGAAGAAAACGCATAATATCATGACGAAAACAAAAAGATCAGATTTTCCTCTTCAAACCCAGATGGGTCTCCCAAACATGACGCCGCACACTGTCACGCCGCATGACGCAAATGTCTGCATTGTCGCGTTTCCGATATGTACAATTGCGCCAACGACATGCATTTGGCGCATTTTGATCCCCTGAGAGATGACTGCGCCTGAAATGCGTCTTGAATACATCCAGTGGCCCTTTAAATGTACAAGTCGTATTTTCTCCGACAAGCCAGTCACAAGAGAATGTAGCAATGGACGGCGGCGAGTGGTGGGTTCTGTAAGAATGAGATCTACGACGACGCCGGGAATTCTGGCGAGAACGTGAATTACGGTGGGGCAGATCTTGATGTGGCTGGATGGATGGTGGACGATGTGAAGGGTTACTTGTATCATCTCCGTGACCTATGTAGGGATGTGAAAATATTGCAGCAAAAGGTAAAGGTGCCATAGACGGGTCTGGTTGTTCTGGCAAACTAGAACCAACTACTTGCGGATCACAGATGGCATGGTCCTCACATCGTGGCCACGAGGCATGATACGCCCCAGGATAGTGGGCGGATGAATCAGGTTCACGGGGGTAGGAGGATGGCTCACGGCAGGAGCTGGAGGATGCATCTGTGCTGGGGGAGACGTATTGGGGTCGATAAGGAGTACAGCCATCCGGATACTGCCTGTATGTGAGGGTACTTGTAAGTAAAGTGACTACTCATAGACGGTGACGAGAGGCATACATTGGTGGTATATAGGATGGTGGGGGATTGCCTCCTGTAACTGGACTACTGGAATACCACGCGTCGATGCCTCCCTGTGCGGTGTCGTGGTACAGAGCACCATGCCGGCTTAGAAGGTTGTACCCAGAGTCGCCATAGCCCAAGCTAGGTTGAAGCTCATAAGAACCGTAATGCATGGGGTCAGCAGTTGGATAGTGGTTTTGCAGCCGTGCTATATCGTCCATCATGGGATGGGTGGTAGTAGCTTCCTCGCTGCTGTAGGGAAAGTCTCCATTAGACGAAATGTTCGACCCCATGGAACCATTCAAATAAACAGGGTAGGTGAACGTGTTGAAGGGGTATACCAACATATTGGCGGCAGAGCCAAATCTGTTAGCCATGGCGCCAGAGGTGCCGCCCGCCCTGCCAGGGAAGGGGAAGCTCCCGGCCCCGGGGTTGGCCGATGTTGATGAATCAAAGGGGAGGAAAGTCCGCACGGGACGGCTAGTTAGAGTATCAGATATCTGTTATGAAGAGGGAGCAGTAGACTAACTCAGAGCTTGACATTGCATTCGGATGATCGCGACGATATGGACTTTCAGGTACTGTGAGCTCACCGTCGGGGGGTGACGACGAGCTCTGCGGCGTCGGAAAAAAGATCTTTGACAGTGATCAGGGTAATGAGGAAGGAAAGTCCAAGAACTCCTACCATGTCGATGACACGGGACGAGACCACTTGGGGTTTTGACGAAGACGTGATGAACAGCGTGACAAAATATTGCTCGTCTGGCTACTAATTTATCTGGAGTAGCCGAAGAAAGAGAAAGAGAAGGGGGGGTGGGGTTAAAAGGCGCACGCCAAACCAATAAATAACCACACAGCAAATCCAAATCCCCCAAGTCGGGATGCGAGCCAGGGACCAGCCATGGCTCAAGGCCAATGCGAGCTCCATCCATCGGGGAAATTTGAAAGTCGTATTCTAGAAGACACAACCGACCAAGCCAGCATCAAAAATAACACAATCCAAGGATTAAGAGATCTTTGACGAAGGAGGTAATGAATCCGACAACACCCGAACACCAGAGCGGAGGCAAGAATTTGGTCGGAAGTTAATCCGGTCAACAACAGCCAGTAAAGAGCATATAATGGCAACTATGTCCCTCAGCAATGAAATGCTGTATCAAGAAACGCATGAAGTTAAAGTGGATGCAGCATCATCATAACGCTTAGCGTAAACGAGTCTAACATGGCGAAACAGAGGCAGCGGGAGAGTGGGGGAAAAGTAACGAAATTGGAGATGCTGAGCACCAAGCTCTGGTTTATTAAGTGCTTATTGTGCGATAAGGACAGGTAAAAGGAGATATCCGAGCGCCATGATCATGGGAGCAGGCCCTATATGTGAACATTTGGAGTATCATATGAGCCAGTAGCACGCTGATCAGCTGATTACTTACTGAGCCACACCGAGAGAAGACGAGAACGGATGAAGGTCGAGGTTACATAGCTCCTTCGATTTATGAGACAGGTGCCTAATCAAATATTGGTACTGCCCCATGGAGGCTCAAGCGCATTTGAGAAGATGTAAGTGTTGTGGAGCGTTGGCAGGCAGCTGCACACCAATTATGGTATAGCACGAACCATGTTCCGCGAATAAGTCGATTACCAAACCGCGCCTAATAGTCCCAATCTTCGCGGCGAGTAAAACGTCCAATTGCAATTTTGGTTAGCCACCATCCGATGATCAGTCCCAAACTTCCTTGACCTTTCAGAAGCATCCATTCTCGATGAACCATTCATATTGTCCAACGCGTGGCTCTGCGTCACTGGACACGCACGGCCTGAGGTCCTCTATTGAACTTTTGTTTCTACACAATACGTTCATTATGTCAGTACTCTTCGCAAGACGCACCTCAGTACATGTGTAATCCATATATGCTTCCTCAGTCGTGCTATTTGTTCACTTTTGTTAGAGTCCCTCCTTACTAGTTGCAGTTACACACGCTGACCCAGTGATAAATCTGATGATTGTATTTAGTTCCCTTTAAAAGTGGGCGTAGCTTACACACGATTGCATCTACAAGGTTTCGAAGAGAAACACCCGATGAACAGCGCCCCAACCAGACGCTGAAGGCTCGCCAATTGTTCGGGTCATTTGCTACAAGAAAATCTCATTCATGTCAGCTCGACGAATTAGGGAGATGTTTTTTTAGTAGAGTCAGCCGGGAGGACCGTCACGTAGTCTCGGATATATAGTAAGTACCCGCTCACTGCCATAACAGCCGCTATCTCTTCCTGTCATACCGATAGCCCACTCCAATGGGATTCGTGTTTCTCCAACATCCAAACATGTTTGTTCGACCAGATCATTCCTAAATTTTAAAATCCGCTCAAGAGTCTGCGCAGCTCTTGACGGGTCGGGAGCCGCAGGTGATGGACTTGTCTGCTCACAGACCTCCCCGCTTCTACGAGAAAGTCAACACTTGCCGCATTAATCCTCCATTTCTATGGCGATTCATCTGCTGTAACCGAGGCTCAGACTCAGACAAGTAGGTGGACGCAACGAGGTGATCATACATGTGTTGTATCAATATTATTCACGAGACTGATGATTGAATACTGATCATTACTACAGGCAACCACAACCTACCGCAACGTCGGCTGTCTTTGTCCATGCTGCTTGCATAAAGGAAGCACGTCCCATACCAAAAGGCAAGACTTGGCTCAACTTCAACACCGTCGCTACTTCATAATCATCGTGAATCTAAGGCAAGCGCGTTGCATTGGAACTGTCTTTGTACTTTAATACTTCTTTAAGTATCGCAGTTATGGTGAAATTTAAGAAAGGAATGGTTGTACCAGCGAGGCGTTGCTTTGGGCCATCCGCGCCCCAAGACGGTAGAAGACTCAATGGAGATCATTTCCCCAGTTTTGAGGGATGTGAGGACAAAGACGGGCGTTTACCTCTACACCAAACTCCGCCATGTGAAAACCCTTAGGGCAAAGGCTTTTGGTGCATTGCCTTCGCCTCGGTCCGTACGAGGGCTACCAACCAGCGCGCTGCCGGAGGAAAAATATAAGGTTTTCAAGGAAGCACTGCAAAAGGACCGCCCGCCTAGCTAGTTCCGAGACACAAACCGTCAGTGGCCTATGCTTATCGCCAATGGAAGCGACTGATGTTTATTCTCACTTAGCTTCTCTACCATCTGGACTTCGGGCCATGCGAACTGAATGACACTCAACCCATTTCCACTCTAACATTTACCTACCAACTCATTAAAGTGTTCACAGGCTGCTCGCATTCAACGCCACCGGCGACTCGGACGACTCCGAGTCTCGGGCTCGACTTTTCACATCTGTAGCCAGATCTTCCCGTGATACCTGCACTGATTAGATTTACCACACCCAACGTGTACTCTGCTCTTACAGAATATTAGATAGTGTATGAGCCAAGGGCCCTATCCAGCATTAATATGGAAGGAGGTCGGTGCTAACGGTCGCCGGTACTAGTAGCACTGTGCTAATGCTTCATTGAACATTCCAAACACGCAGTCAACATGCACATACAGCGTGAGAAATTCAATGGGTGACTCAATCAGTTTGCGGGATAGAACGTTAACACTTCCATCTTCCATCTCAGAAATACCATGCCAGTATCTCATACGGTTCCAGCCTACAACGTGTGCGATCGCTCGATTATACGCTCACAATAGGAATAAGAACGAAACGAAGCTACACAGTCACAGCCGTCCGAGTCTTACCGAAACTTCGACCATTCTTTCGAGAGGACCATGCTGGCCGGCAACTCGGAGGTGGAACGCTCGACATTACTTTTCGAATGCGACTTTCACTGGCGCCTGAGCTGAAAGGCGTGTGATGTTGACAGTAGAGCGATGTAATTAGTGTGGTCGGGTCGTCACCCAAATTACAGTGATGCCACTGGCAGTTGTCGCGTGCGGTGCCTGTGGTGTGGGGAAGTACTGGTTCACGCTAACGGTGGGATTCGGGTAGTGGTGCATCTATTGTCATATATCGTGGTGTCTCGAATAGCCAGGGCCGCATGTGACAATACTGCCAATACAAGGCGCATTACGCAACTTCTGTTGTGACTTCCATTGCAACGTCGGACTTTTCATGTGCGCGAAGTTGCCAACTCCTCGCTCACCATCGCCTTCTTATGTATTTGCATATTGGACTCTGCATTTTCCTATAGGCGTGGGCAAGAAAACATGTCTTGCACTATCTCCGCGAGTACTCAGGATGCGGAACCATGAGGCTGTCGTATGTTGATTAATCGGAATAGGTGCAGATTTTGTTGTCATTCGCACGTAAAACGATAATATTAACCTTGCGCATGTCCAGGTGCATGCCCGCAATGATTCCAGTTATCTAATCGTGGCCAGCATGCTTTTCATTTCTGGGATGATGGCCGCTAGCGTATGTTCACGACTTCTCCGGTTATTGACATCTGCCCTGTAGGTTCGGCCAGTCAAGGCTTAGATCCCCTGCTCATTAACGATCTTTGCCTTAGTTCTGCTATGCAAACCCTTCTGCGGCTGCCTACTAAGGACTCTTCTTTGTACTGCTTTGCAGCTGTGCTTTGAAACTGGGTTAGCCCTTGGTGATGTCTGATACAAGTGTGCGGAGATATATCTTAACGTGAACGATTGAAGCTCTCCGTGGTTTTAAGGGGGCTCAGCCCGACTCGTGGTACTGGTGGGGCCGGATCAGGCTGTCCGTCATGCATCAAGTGTCGACCCAAAACAGTAAACGGAGCCTCATTTAGCCTGCGCCCCATCAAAATCAATCACCCGCCTATCCACAATCCTCACCTGTCTATTGCCCCAAAAAAGGATAATATCTATGTTGAGGTCACGATCTTGGCATGATACCCATCGTATCATTCAAGCAGGATGAGGACCTCTTTATCCGCACAGGAGACCTAACTTTTTCGAGTTTCGAGCTTGCCCACTCAGGCCCTTCCGTTAGGAAGCGAGTGTACACACGCACTTTTCAATTTACAGAATGGCCATGCTCTCCGCGAGCTTCTATGCATTGGCTCCGTGCTGTCCCCTCCTTGCGTTTTCCAGGCCTTCTCCTTGCTCACCTAATGTGATCTAGACTCGTCGCTTAAACAAGTGCAAGGCAAACAAGCGCAGGGGCTGGCGTTCCACCATGATTTAAGGACAAGGATTCCAACTGTCACAACAGAACAGCAGCACTCTTCCTCTCCAACTCCTCAACCCTCACCGACTACCTACTAATACAAACATGACTGACGTTCTTGGTGTTCTTGTCATCGCCCGCAATGGTGACCGCACAGAGTACTATCAGGACCCCAGGACCTATGAGAGCTCCTACACCGAAAGCACTGCTCTTGGTGCTGTAAGTCACTAGTATGCGGCTTGTAGCTTCCCTAGCTGATGCAGCTTGCACTACAGGCCGAGTCTCACCAGCTCGGATCCTTCCTTCGCTCGACCTATATGTCCTCGTCTTCTCCTTCATACATCGCGGACATGAAAACCGACCTCGTGGACACCCATGAGGTCCACGTCCACGCCAAGGCTGGCGGTGAGGGTACCGTGATCTTTGACTCTGCTATCGCCCTCCTCCAGGGTCTTTTCCCTCCCAACCCTGCTAACAAGATCGTTCTTGCCAACGAGACCACCGTCATTGCTCCCCTTGGCGGTTACCAGTATGTTCCCATCGAGACTGTCGAGCCCGGTAACGACAAGTCCCTTGAGCCATGGACTGACTGTCCAGTAAGCAATACAAAAATCCAAACCTGGGGATGTACGATCTCACCGTGACCCGCAGGCTTTCGAGCAACACATCGCCGATGTCTACTCGTCTTCTGAGTTCAAGGAGACCGCAAGGGCTGCTGGTCCTTTCTTCGGTTCTGTCAGGGACTACGTTTTCGGCCGCCCTACTACTCTTGAGAATGCCGTAGGTTGCACCTCTAATTCTTTGATACAAATGCTGATTACCTCTGTGATTTAGTGGAATGTGTGTTGCCATCTAACTTAGATTACTGGTGTCTGGCTGAACTTCTTCTAGATTTACGACTACGTCTCGACTGAGCTCTCACACAACAAGACCTACGCTCACCGCCTTCCCCCCACCTTGGTTGAGCAGGCTCGTGGTTTTGCTGACTTCCACGAGAACGCCGTATTCTCGGACAAGGATGTCGGTGGTATTGGTAACTGTGAGCCAATTTCGATTCACGTGCGCTGTCCACCACTAATCTTATTGTTGTTCAGTGGCTGGCCGCACGATCCTCCATACGGTCTTGAGCTCCCTCCAGCGGATTGCATTCAACGGCGACCCTCTACAATTCCTCCTCATTGAGACCTCTTACCAGCCTTTCATCTCGCTATTCCACATGTTTGAGATGGTCAAGGAGAGCCCTGAGCTTGCCGGTATCCGTGCGTATGATCTCACTTCAATGCATTCAGCCGATTAACACAAGGACTACAGCGAACTATGCTTCTGCTCTTGCCTTCGAGCTCCGTCGCGGACCTGCTCCTGAAGACCGTGACTTCGTCAGGATCAAGTTCAAGAACGGCACCAACGGCGCTTTCGAGACCTACCACGCTTTCGGCCACAAGTCTGACATTGCTGCAACGGAATTCATCTACAGGATCGAGGTATGCACCTGCGCTGGTTTTTGAATTTGCTAGTCTTAATACCACTGTTCTAGAACTACGCCATTACCAGCCAGAAGCAATGGGCCGCTGCTTGCAGCTCAGGTCTTGATGATGACTGGCTCCACATTGGCTCCCAGGACGCGATCTCCAGCACTGTCTTTGCCATTCTGGCCGCTGTCTTCCTCCTCGGCATGTTCGTCCTCTCCAAGTTCGTCAAGAGCGCCCGTGCCAAGGCTCAGAACACTCGCATCCGCCTTGCTGACGATGAGGTGAGTCAGTCGCACCCACCTCAGAGCCAGTACCCCAATTATGGAACCCTTTCCAACGTCGGTCCTGGTATCGCGCCTTTCTGAATCGTGCTGACGAACTGTCATTTCCTCTTTCTTGTTCATGACAGAACGTCGTCGCTCAGCCCGCTTCCATGAGTGAGAAGCAGCGCCTTCCCTTGTAAGCGCCGGCCTAGTAGGAGTCGGAGAGGTTGAAAAATATCTTCACTACATACTTCTGCGGGATGAGTTTCTTGTTTGATTGGTATTTGGACCGGATCGCATTGTTTCACAGACTCTTACCACATTTTTTCTTCTCGTTTGCAATATGACTGCTGTGTAGTTTATCACATGGGACTGGGTCCCCCTAGTTAGAAAAATTCACACATTTTCTCGGATTTTTGCATCGCCTGCTGTGACATGTTGATCGGCTTGTCGATGATATAGGGTCGAGGTAAATCATCGGATTGCAGAGAGTGCAACAAAGGCTATTCTGGAGCTTCTGGTGATTCATAGCTCAACATGCACGATACCTGGACATCGTTTACTATGAAACGCAGCCTCCGATCGTAAGAATTCCTTGTATCGCCACCAGACTTGCTAATGTGAATCAGTGAACCTAACTCAAGACTCACTCTTCTGTGGTCCAACGTTCAAGGGTTGATCCACAATTCAGTCCTCATAAGGGCGTAGTCCCCACTATAGAGTTAATAGGAAGTTTTTGTTCAGTGAAACATTGAATCAAGAGCCTCAGCCTAGCTTGCAGACACATAAGCAGATTTCCTTTTCTGTGTAATAAATCACCTAGCAAAAATTCCCTACAGTATTACGTAATTAATACCGCGTGCCTATGCGGTCGAGGACAATCAGTTTTTAACTGACTTTTCAACATGACCAAAATTCCTCGCTGCTACATAGTATGAATTCGATAGACATTTGGCCTATCCGAGTCCCTGAGGCAACTTAGATGGAGCTTTCGTCCGTAAGTGCTCCCCTAAGCAGTCTTTTTACATCTTCCAGTGTGTATGATGAATAAGTGTATCCATTTATCATTTGACGCGAGGTCGTTGGACGCTTGTGTATGATCGAATTTCTTGCTTTACCAGCGAGATCGATGATCTTCTCTCTGAATTATGTTCATTCTTACTACATACGTGTCTTGACGAGTGGATACTGACGAACGTTTCCCGGTGACTATAGGTCTGGACCATGATAATCTCTGCCAGCACAACGTGCCTATAATCCCAGCATACGTACAGAAATATCTGGTTGTGGTGCGGATATGGCAGTGATTCAGAGTGTACCTGGCGTCCTTATCCTCCTCTTCGGCACTGTCTACCCGTTCCGGCATCTGCAGAATTTCAGACGGCTATGGATGTATACGGTTGTGCACCTGCCCATCGATTTATTGCATTGTCCGTAATTTGTCTTGCGCCCTGCCATGACCAGCACAGTGCGCCTCAACTGCCCTTGAAAGCAACTCTCTCGCCTGCATGTTTGCATGTTCGCCAGTAGCCTTCTGGCTTAGATCTCTTGCCCTGTACCGCGTTGTGTCCCCACATTTAGAAAACTAGCCAATAATAGAAGTCCTTCTTTTCCTTCCCTGATACACGAGGCAGGGTAGCCGGTTCCGCATGCCCTCGGAGAACAGCTACATATAGCTATCGGCAACCACACGAGCGATCCATATCAACTCATCTGTTCCCTACACCCAGCACCGATTTCTTCGTGCATTCCCTGCATTTACGCTAGTGTTTATTGTATAACTGCTACATTATGATGGATATCGACATGGACTCTCCAGTCGGTCCCGTGATCGTGACGGACTACGATGAATCGCACAGCCACGGAATTTCAGTGAGATAACGTTGACGCCGAATCAGTTCTCAGAAGCAAGTTCTAACGCTCGTCATGTAGGTATATGGCGCCGGGATTGATCTTTGTGAGCTTCTACAAACACTGACCTTGTCGAAAGGCAAGACCAAGGTAAGCATGAGCCCCTCCCGTCATACGTAAGTTTGACTCCGTGATGGAGAAAGGCTCCCGAAGACGATCCAACGGTCTCTGTTGTCCCCTATGCCTTGCAAAGGGCAAGCGAGGACGGTGCAAACATAGAGGATCCAGCGTACCACGTGAGTGCAACCAAAATCATTGGAATTCCCACCATCAAACTTACGACTCATGTAGTCCGACGCGGAATCATCAAGTTCAAAGTCCAGCTCGTGCGACCTCCCCACCACAACCACCAACCACCTGCTCCCCTCCTCTATCATAGTCCCGCGCTCTCCACTTCCCGCATGCCACTTCCTCCAATCCATCCTCGCTTCACTCGCCCCCGAATCCCACGTGCTCTCTCCATCCCCGTACCCCTACCCCGCGGCATCACACTTCCGGACGACAGGAGGCGAATACCTGGACACGATTCTCACTCATCGCGCTCTGCTCAGTGCATTTCCTCCTGCACACCGAGGCTGTGCGATTGCCTTGCAGGAAATAGCAAGAGCAGTAGAAGTGAGGGCGTGGCGGGCCGATCATGAATCAGATGCAGAGGCAGTGGCAAACCTAAGGCAGGAAGCATTCCTAACTTCCACATGGCTATAACGAATTTATATCATGACGTGCTGCGGGTCAGCTGTCACGGTACACACTTTGAGTGCTATATAATATGTAGCACCCGTTTCAGAGTAGTTCGTGCGTTGGATCGAAGACAATTATGTCCAGATTGAACATTTGGTCCTCTTCCGTGGCGGCCTGTATAGGTTGAGTGGGAAGCGCCCCTTCTACTTCATATTTTGCTGTGGCCGATCTAAGTCTGAGAATCGACGTCCTCTAGCATTAGGAATTACAAATTAATGTTACAAGTGTGACGCACCTTGTGGTTCTACGCAGTAGTACATATTATTCGTGCGACCAGGAAACGACTCACTTCCTTCGATAGGTCTGGCTAGGGAGAGAGTATGACTGGTACTTTAAAGTTCAGCGAGGAAATCACGTAAGTACTACTTTTGCAGGTAATATCACAGGCATCGGCATTGCAGCCGAATAAGGACGTCTCTTTCTTTCGTGAACGAAAGGTTTTGATGAAGTTGAACGTCGCTTCACCACCCAGATGAATATTGGGTTGAGATATAAGAGCTTCACAGTTGCTGTGGGGAACCTCTACAAATCCGATTTTTCCCACTCTGCCACTGCTGTTGACAGGTTCACATGTGATTACTACTCTTATTAAATGCTTGTTCGGTTGAAGAACTAATGCAGTGCTGTGAAAAGGTTCTGTCTTGACCAACATCCCAAATTCGATTCTGGAAGTTATCATGACCAGCATTCTACCACCCTTCGTTCAGGCAGCATCGGGCTCACTAGGAGCAGCGAGCGCCAATGCGCTGACTTACCCACTGGATCTCATCACCACACGTATACAGGCTACGGAGAAGGGCACATCCATACGCAAACAAATCCACACCTATGGACTATCGTCGTTATACGATGGCATTGGGGCAGACACTGGTGCTACCCTACTTTCAAGGTCAGTAGCTTCTGCATTCTGTGTCTAAGAGTTGTTCATCATCATCGAATCAGCTTTTTGTATTACTACGTGTATTCCTTCTTGCGAGCAGTCGTTGTCCGCGGAAATGGAAAATCAAAGGCAGCCATGTTGTCTCTTCCACAGGAGCTCGCAATTGGTTACCTATCAGGCATTGCCAGTAGATCCATCACGACACCTCTCAATCTCATTACGGTGCGCTTGCAAACCGCTCGAGTGAGCGATGATTCCTCAGCACAAGGAGGAACATCACGGTTCACGGCAATTTGCCAACAAATACTTCGGGAAGAGGGGTTACGGGGATTCTGGAAAGGTTTGGGTTTCAAGAAGCGCTTGTTCGATCATCACAACTTATGATAATGACCATAGGGTTCTCATCCAATTTTGTGCTTTCACTCAATCCCGCGGTCACACTCTATCTGTTCCAGCAGTACAGACGAGTGATGCTCAAGGGGAAAGAACGTGCCTCCCCACCCCCAGGCCATTCCTTCGTAGGAGGCGCGCTTGCAAATTCTATAGGCGGGTCACATTCCTCTGATGCTGTTGTTTAACAAGTGCTAATACGCGACTCACGAAGCCGTCATTATGTTATACCCGTTGTTGCTCGCAAAGACTGTCGTACAAGCTTCCCGTAGATCTAATTCAACCAACAATTCATCACAGGGCCCGTCAATACGATCATCACTCCAAGGAATATATACCGCTGGCGGATTCTTCGCCTTATACCGTGGTCTCGCGGCGCAGTTGTTCAAGGGCATACTGAGGCAAGGAACAGCTATGATGGTGAAACAAAGGTGACTTACTAGCCCCCTCTACCAATGCACCTGTTGAATTTATGACCCCACCAGGATCGAGCAACTGGTCGTACAGGCCTATCTCAGACAGCGAGCACTGCGTCGCGTCCAATATAAAGGTTAATAAGCATACCCAAACAATCTCAAGTGCCAGTGTATAATGTTTTATTTTATTGAATGCAAGTCTTGTCAAAAAGTAGTCAGTGCGGGAGGTATGAATATGGTCCGAGTCCGAGTATAGTGAAAGTCCTCTGCTTAGAAAGAGTTTAAATAGACAGCCACTTGGCAAGCAGAGAGGGAAAGTATGGCGTCCCGAGGCCGGTGACGGGATCCCAACCTTTAGTTGCATTGAATCCCAGAGTGCCACACCCTGGGTTCGTTCCGTTGGTGACATCTTTAAAGCTAGGTACGAAAGCAGTGGAGTAGATCTTCAAAAAACGTCAGCTACAACTTGAAATTGGAAGAGTGATGCATGACGCACAGTGGGGTTGATGAACCCAAGAGTTGGTTTGCCGCGCGCGATGCGAGCATCGTTCACCATGGTCAAGATAGCACCGACGACAGGTGAAGCCGCGGACGTCCCATACACGAGCTGGAAACTACCATCGATAGCAACGACGTAGTTCGCTCCATTGGCGGAAAGATCGGGATATGCACGGGACTGCAAGAATGGTCAACCTTGCCCTTGACTAAACTTGGGTCTGAACTATGAAGAGACCTACTCCGGTAGAGTTATAGATATCCTTCGAGTACGAGATCGGATTAGCTGCTAGATACCCTTTGACCGCACCCTTCTGATAGTCGGGCATACTGAAATAGTTGCTGAATCCACCGCCAGAGTAAATGACTTGTTCACATGCGTTTTCGGGTTCCCATACATTTTGGCCAGGGCTAACTTGGGTGGCACCGACCGCAGTGACATATGGACATGTAGCAGGGAAGGAGGGATTGAAGATTTTACCGTCCCAGGTTTGACTACCTGCAATAAAATAAGTCTAAGCTTTGACGATGCTTGAATGATCTGCGAATTTACCATCGGCATTTAAACAGTTCCCTGTGTTCCCTGCAACGCCCTCGTCTCCCGAACTGAAGAGGAAAGTAACACCCATGAGGCCGAGCTTCGCGTACTCATCACATTGGCGAATAGCATAAGCGGCAGAGAGGTCGGCCTCATTGTATCCGTAGGATGTAGAAATGACGTTTGCGGGCTGGACAGTTCCGCAATCCTCATCGTCTGGATCGTGCAGCTGAATATAGTTAGAATATCATCATATTTGAAAAACTTACCGTTGTATCCGCCACTAGCAGTGTCAGGATAAACAGGATCCTGGGAGGGATCATCACCGCCATCATACGCGCAGTATGTCCCATCCAGGGCATCAAGGAAGGTATTGAAAGAACCACCTAAACATCGGCACAGTCAGCCTTGTATGTTGAACTTACCGGTCATCTCCATACCTTCAACCCAATCTCCAACTTGGTAAAGAGTAATGTTTTGTTTCTTTGTTACCAAGGTCATACCGTACTCCAGATCGAGGTTGGATTCCCCATTGTAGTCGAAGGAAGCGTCAGAGCCAGAAGCGCTGGAGCCAGAAGGTGTGAGGCTGCCTAATACAACCATCTTGATCAGTTGCTCTGTGGGAAATGAGTTGCAATGGTACCTCCATCGATCGAGACCAATGTAGGGGAAACTCCCTCGAGATCAGTTGAAAAATTCTTTGCGAACAAGTCAAGATCAGACTGCACATAGACCTGTGGGGTGTATTCCACTTCGTAGTTCGTCAGTCCCCAGCATAGTTGCACGGCGGAAGTGCACGTACCAATTCCATAGCTGTTGATGTTCCCGGCGACTGGCTCGTACCAAAGTCCGTAGAGAGCCCTCAAGCAAATTGGCGTTATTTGCTTGTCACAATCCTCAATCTGGTCCAAAATGTCGTCGATGTGACCGGTCGTCTTAGGAGTGCTACCCTGACCAGGTTGGCCGATCGGGACTCTGCTATATTGATCACGCTTCTGGATCCTGGCATCAAAATGTATGGTAGGAGTCACGAAGTCAACATGCGGGATCACATGCTCTGGTAAATGGTAACTCTCGCAGGCTGTGGTCAAAGTTAAAATCAGGTCAATGAGCGCTATGACCACAAGACTCACCAATGTGTTTTGTGCCGGTTTCGTGATCGTACACATGGTATTCAGCAAGCAAAAGATTTTCAGCCTCTTCGACAGTAGAAGCCACTTCAAGCCAGCCCTTCGTGGGAGAGAGTTTCATGCGGTGGGGCTCTACACCGCTTTCGATCAACCATGAACGCACGGTCTCGATGGTTTCGGGTTTGGGGGCAAATTTAGCTGCGATCTGACTTGCAGACCAGTGGTTACCGTAATTGGATGAACCAGGATGCGACACGTCGTAGAGAAGTGCTTCAATGTTCTCGATATTTGACTGGGCAAGCGCAAATCGTAAGGGAATCGATGCAGAAGAATCGAGCTTTCGTGCACGGGTCCATCCTGTGGGTATGTGGGAACGCTGTTCGTGTACCCGCCAAGGAGAGAGTGTGGGGTCGGCAAACGCACTGGCGGCGAGGCCGAGTGTAAACGAAAGGACAGGTAGGAGGAAAGAACGCATTAGCTGTAAGAGCCACAAAACAACAAAAAGTGGGAGAACGGTACCAAAGTCAGTAGGAAAATCTCATCATTGGTTTTATAGCGTCCAAGATTCGAGCTAAAATAGTCTCGATCAAGGAAGCGAGCAATGTACGTAGATCGTCGTAACCATGCATAGCAGAACGTTCTCGTTCTGAGACTCATCAAATCATGATATTACGATGTGGGTGCATGATACCTTGGAGGAGCCATGAGGCTATGAAGCACGGATAGGACAACCGTCAACATTAACGGCCATCTCTGAACATGAGCGGCAGTGAGTCCAAAAGCATCGTAATAGGTGCTAATAATAGGTATCGACACTTCTCGAGTTTCAATTTCAACCTCATATAATTGTATTATGTAAGTATATGCATATGTTCCACTCGCAAGCTCCGTCATATATTCTAAGTGCCACTAGTCTATGTGCCCGATGCATTACCTTCGTCAAAAGGTCGTCAACGGTCGTAAATCTTCGTCAAACAACCACATGAAAATTGGGCCCTTCATTGCTGCCCAATGCTGGTCATAGCATCTCCTAAGGTGGCAAAGAATGCCTCGGAGCCTAGGAGCTCCTCAATACCTGCGCGCTCGAACATTTTTCGAGGACCAGAACGAAGGTGAGTCACGAAGAGCTCAACGCCACGATTCTGATCGAATGAGATAAAGCTTTCAAAGTCGCGTAAGCTCTTACCTGATACGTCTCCAACAGCTCATGGAAGATCTGCACTGCCGAGGCATCACACGTTTCGACGTCTGCCATATGGAATACTAGTGTGCTTGCGGGCTGCCTTCTTGGCTCTTCTGAAGGGTGGGTCCTTTCTGGGCCATACAATTCCAGTCTACGAAGACGTTCTTTCAACTGTGCCGTGTTAGCTGGTATGCGTATTGAGCTTTGTCGGCATTCAATAAGATGATATAGAAGCGCACCAAAGTCCAAGCTCTCTCTGATACGAATGATTAATATGCCAGGAACATCTTCAGCGCCCGGATTGTCAGCAATGGGCCCCCATTGATCAGTGCCAGGAATGCGTCCCTGCAACACCGTCTGAGCGCTTAAAAATGTTTTAGGTAATGACATACCAGTATAATCAAGCGAGTGTGCGAGGAACGCTTGATAACAAGCAGCAAAGAAATGATGAGACTGACAATGATTCCGATCTCAATATTCCAGATGACAGATAGCGAGAAAGTGAGGAACATCATTGCAAGGTCAGTCCAAGCTCGGATCCTTAACGTCAGTGGTCAGCACCCTAAGACTATACAAGACAACCTATCGCACCTCCAATAATACATTAGGTCATGGGGAACCTCGCTGAATAATGATATCACAAAGAGGCAGATGCTGAAGCCAAGTCAACGCCACAGACCAAGCGGAAATGAAAGGCACGCACATCGAGGCCAAGACACATCTTGGCAGGTAGTATAGATACGGGAGAAGGAAGAATGTCGCCAACAATGTTATGCCGGCAGTAACAAGGGAGGCCAATTGCGTGCGCGCACCAACATCGCCATTAATCTTCGACCTCACAATTGAGCCAAATGCTGGCAACGTGCCAGGAACGAAAGATCCAAAAAGGTTAGCAGCCCCAAGTGCAACGAGTTCACGGTTCGGACTGATGGAGTAACCAAAGCGATCAGCGTTCTGCTTGGCCGCAACGGTACTATCCAAGAAACCCATGATGGTTATCAAACTGATTGATGTTAATAAATATATTCGCGAAGGAAATTATGCGCATACACTGCAGTCGATGTCGTTCCTCTGATGTAGCTTATCGATTGTTTCAGCGGAAAGCTAAAGAAATGACCGCCAGTATTGATAGGTATTTTGCCGAGGATATCAACACCTTCTTCGTCCCAACGTAGATAGCCTGAAATAACTATGCAAACCAGTCAGAGAACCAAAGATAAGAAGCTAATGGTCATACTTGTAGAGAGCACGACAACGAGTAGGACTTCAGGGAGCCGTTCGATCCACCAAATTCGTCTGAAGTAACCTTTGGAAGTTCTCATGAATATGAGCACGAGCAGCGCCCCGAAGCTGACCAGCATCGTCGGTTTGTGATAATTACTCCATGAAAATTCTAGAAGAAAAACTATCTTGTCCAAGGTTGACTCGGGATTCATCTGGTTCTCTAGGGCAACGAGGCCAAACATAGGTATTAGTTGTTCTCTATGATACAACTTGAGCGCTTCGTGGGTCATCTTTTTTAACGATTGTACGCACATCGTAATGACGACTGCAACTGCAGTCACGAATCCTCGGAGGAGTGCACGACTGAGGACAACATCCAGGAAGCCCAGCCGAAAGAATCCAAGCATCGACGCAAACAACCCAACCTACAAAGTTATAATTTGTCATATGAGTCTTTTTGAGGCAATGTTCTAGCCCCAACAAATCATTACTTACCTGGAAAGTGATGGCAGTGGAAACTGCAATACCGACGGCATCGGCATCTTCCGGACGAGTATGATGATCCCCACGACGGTAATCGGAAACTGCTTGTCCAACAAGGAGTGAAAGCGCAGCTTCTGGAGCAACATTAAGTTGTCTTGACGTCCCCAGAAGACTGTACATGATCGGCGGTATGGCGGCAGCAAACTAAAGAGAAATGAACATTTTATCGGAAAGATACGAAGGGGCGCACCAAACCAGTTGTAGGACTTAGCTTCGCAAGTGAAGTTCCATAACTGACAGACTGGGGAATGAGCATAGCCGCAAGAGTGACTCCAGCTAGAAGATCGCCACCCAAGCTGATGAATATGAGCTCATGCGGTTGACATTGCCATGTCTACTCACAGGGAAACCGAATAGTCAGGTATCCATGCAGTAGATGGAACATAGTATCGGACTCGTTTCTTAAACATCGAGTTGCGCTTGCTGGTATCCTTTGGCAACTCAACACCTGTATTTTCTTCTATGGATGGGTCTAATAAATGCTAATAAATGCTCACCAGAAGCAGAAGTTCTCATAGAAGAAGAAGAACCGTACTGGGCGTGAGTCGTATGACCTGTCTCAATGTCGCTCTGATTTACGAGTGGTGTCCGTTCTTCTCGATGAACCATGTCTGACAAGGATGAGACGGAAGCAGCTGTTGACAAAGAGTGAAACCACGAGACGGGTTCCATGGTGCTACCTCCACTCTGCTGCGTCATTGCTGAGCATATACTTTTCGTGAAAGACTGCGAGCCGCACTTCCGCGAGTCGTTCGACGGAAAGTTAAATTGAAGGTAAATTCCAAATTCGGAACTAACCGCTCCCTTTCAACCCCGACAACCGATCTCAAATCAACGTTTACTTGCACTAACTACTTTGCTAGGCCTGCCGTCTATAGAGATATGTAACACCTACCACACGCACCACTGCAGCAGTAAGACATCACTGATCCCTCCAGACAAGCCCAGTGACTTCGGCCGTGTTCAATTCAATCACCATCAACCTCCAGTAAAATGTCGCAGCTCATTTCAAGTACCACACTGGCAGTGACCACACCCCTTCGAACATTTAGAGATCATACGGATACAATACATGCTGTAGCAGTTTTCCCAGATAGACAACGCATGATTACTGGCTCGTGGGACAAGACACTTCGTCTGTGGGACTTGGAGACAGGTGTCATGTTGAACAAGATGGTCGGGCATCACGAGATGGTGCGCGCATTAACGGTATCACGAGATGGGCAATTCATAGCAAGTGGTGGTTGGAACGGAGAGCTCATCGCCTGGCACGGGGAAACTGGGAATCCTCTCCACCAAGCTATTGGCGCAGCCCATCCTGAACGGATCCTCACGCTGGACTTTTCTCCCAATGGAACAGTGCTGGCCACTGCTTCATCAGATCGAACGGCTAGGCTGTGGAACACAAAAACATGGCGGTGGTTACAAGGAAACCAATTACACTGTATGGGCATCGTCCGCTCCGTTCGGTACTCACCAGATGGTGAAATTCTTGCCGTTGCAACAAACGGTGACATCAACATTTTCAATTGTGGTACGAGGGAACGCGTCGCAAAGTTCAAGGGTCACACTAGACGAAACTTCTGTCTCGCGTGGACGCCCGGTGGCACACGTCTTCTCTCGGGGGGCGATCAAAATGATCCCACCATACGTGAGTGGGATCCATCGACCTGGATGCAGGTCGGTGATCCCTGGATGGGCCATACCCATACTGTCCATGCCATCGCCGTTAATTCTAGTGGAACACTCGTCGCGTCCGCATCCGAAGACAACAATATCCGTCTCTGGCGGCTCTCAGATCGACGAGTCATTGGCATCTTCCAGCACTCAGACTGTGTGCGATGTGTCACCTTCTCCACGGATGGCAAGCACATCCTTGGTGGAGGTAATGATAAGATGATCTCAGAGTGGGAAGTACCCCACTCGGAGTCTGTAGGTTCCCGGTGATTTCATATTCCTTCGTCATCTCATCTCGTGTATTTTTTCGGTGTCAAGGCTCAAGTATCTGATCAGATCCTCGCCATCAACGCGACCGCCCGCGATGCATGCATCGCGGGTGACTTGTCTACCGCTGAACAGCTTCTAACACAAGATATTGATACCGATATCAACAACTGCACTTCCTATGCCAACCGTTCATTCGTACTGGCACGCAAGCATCACTGGGACCACGCGCTCCAGGACGCAATCAAGGTGAGATATACTGACCCATCATCGGCGCCTTGTGAAAAGCAAGCTAACTTTCATCGTGACATAGTCCGTCACTATCCAGCCCTCCTTGATTGGGTATATCTCTATGGGCATCGCCCTATGCGGAAAAGGGAAACTCGGGGACGCGAGGAAAGAACTTGACCTCGCATTCATGTTCACGAACGAAGATTCAAAAACCATTCATTTTCTTCTCTTGATTAAGGCATGTCAAAATTTTCCTTATATACTCCGTGCTTCATTACAGTTTTCAGGCCATCGTTATTTTCAATGCAGATCAGCATGAGGAAGCAATTCTCCGCGTCCGGAAGCTAGCTGCCGTTTCTCCCAATGTCGATATTCTCGCGTGTCATGTCGTAGAAGTGAGTGTCTTAATCAAGCCCAGGTTTCGTGCATTTATACTGGTTTTCACACATCAGGCCTATCTACATGTTCAGCTTGGAATTAATGCCTTGAATGGCGCCCATTATGACGAAGCTGCTGACCACCTTACTGCCGCTGTCAATTCCGGCACTTTCTCATCCAACTTGGATATACACATAATTTACGAGAACCTGGTGGTGGTATGTTGTGATGTAATTGAATGTGCTTTCAGTGCTCAACCGCGTACTTTTTGTAGCTGTTCGGTTGGGACCTGAAGTTCTTGTGGCAAAATGCACACCAGAAACTTTGCGATGCACTTTATCAGGGAGGTAGACTTGAAGAAGCCCTGGGGTTGTACCGAGAAATGATGGATAAAATTGACGAAACCACAAAGGCCCGCTGCGTTGATTGGTCCAATGGCAAGTCTTGAGTTTACATTGTCACGCAATCTATGATTCTCACCCGCTTTTCACTCAGCTTTCAGGCAAGATTGCAGCGCGCTCTATCTTCCAAAAGGAGATGCCGCATTCACTGCGAGCAATTACGACAGAGCTATTGACCTATACTCTGTGGTGGTCGACCTGAATTTTGCAAATGACACCGTCTTTGCAAACCGCAGTAAGGCGAGGTCGGAAAAAATGTTATGGGAGGATGCGCTCCTCGACGCACAAAAGGTGCGATGACATCTACTGTTTTGTAACCAATGTTCAATCTGGCAATACATAGGTCGTTGAACTCAACCCCTCATCTCATATCGGTTACCAGTTGAAGTACATAGCGCTTCATGGCGCGCAACGTTATGATCAAGCTATCATGGCTTTCGAAGTGATGCTCGCCAAATTAGACAGTGCTCAAGACATGCAGATACGAAGTAAGCTCTAAATAATAAATAATACACGTGTCCAGATGCTCAAGTCTTTCCTCAGAGCTGCGTGAGCATTACGTCAGTCCCTCCGAAGTAGAACGTGACATTCGAAAGTCCGTTGACGTTCAACTTGATGTTTCCCCGCGGCCGCTCCGTCTACTCAACACCGCCACCGGGCTCCTATGTGACCAAGAGGAGCAATTACACGCCTTCAAAACAAGCACAGAGTACAACGAGCTTCTGTTGTCATTGACTATGAAGCATGCAGACCACCGAATGGAGCGCATTACAGAAGTGGTGGCAACGTACTTCCGTTGTGCTATGTTATCACATAGATGGGAAGGGAAGGAGCCACTGCTGCATGACATCAAGGACAAAGTCATCTACCAGTTGAAGGCAGCTGGCGGTCTCGTGAAGTTGCAATCATTCTGTGAAATCGCTCGAAAGGCTGGGTTACGTTGGGCGTGGGTTGATTCATGTTGCATCGATCAGCACAACAATGTCGAGGTCCAAAAATCACTCAACTCCATGTTTGCCTGGTATCACCATGCAGCGCTCACAATTGTCTACCTGTCGGATGTTCCGCATTCATCCAAGTCTGGTGCACTGGCAAGGAGCGCTTGGAATACTCGAGGATGGACCGTTCCGGAATTCCTGGCTCCTAAAGTCATCCTCTTTTATCAACAGGATTGGACTCCATATCTCAACGACCATTCCCCTAACCACAAGGAGTCTGTGGAGATCATGCGCGAGTTAGAGAATGCGACGCGCATAGATGCACGGGCCCTCGTCGCTTTCCAACCGGGGATGAAAGATGCTCGAGAGAAACTCCGATGGGCATCTAAACGTGTTACCACCGTACCGGAAGACATCGCCTATTCACTGTTTGGCATATTCCGCATTCAACTACCTATCCTTTATGGTGAGAACAAGCAAAACGCTCTCGGGCGGCTCCTGCAGGAGATCGTAGCTCGATCAGGCGATATTACTCCCCTCGATTGGGTCGGAGAATCATCCGAGTTCAATAGCTGTCTTCCTGCCAATATTGCCTTATACGCAGCTCCACCATGTACCCTGCCATCATTGCATGAAGATGAGATTCAGGCAGCTGTTTCGTCGCTGCGAAATACTGTGGCAGTGGATTTGGCTTTGAAACTATATACCCAGCTTGACAGGATGAGCGCCCCTCGTTTCGCGAACTGCAGACTGCACCTGTGTTGCATCGCATTCCGGGTCACTGCACAGGTTAAACGGGGGCATGATCCAGCCCAGGAGCCTGCTCATTTCACGTATGGAGTCAAGGCAGACGGACTTCACGACCTGGAGATCACCACTAAAGAGACGCTGATTCAGTTTGTAAGGCCAACTCTCCAGACATTCTTGCTTGTCCGTCCCTGGAATCGGTGTCTGCTCGGGCTACCTGACTTTGCAGAACTCCACGACTTTGGAGACAATACGCAGAGCGAGGATGAAAATCGGTCCATGCTCAGATTTTCTGTAGAACAGGAGCCGGTTGATTCGGAATCTCTCTCACGAGCATTACGATTGATTGTTCGCCTTGGACAGCCGTTCAGCGCATTTTTGCTCGCGCAACAGCACAGCGGAGAATACAAGAGGATTGCGTCAGATTGCGCTATCATTGCACAAGTCAGAGCTGTGGCTTCTATTCACAACATGATGAATGTTGAAACCCTAGAAATATTGTAGCTGTATGTACTTGTCGATGACCAGAGAATCAAGATCTCTGAGCAGTTGTTCTTTATACCTTGACTCATGTATATAGGTACCCTATCGATATCATTCTCTTCAACTGTTCATCGCGTATACAGTACTTCACTGACTCACACCATTAATGCCCCTTCATCTTCCACCACCTACATTGGATTACTTGGGTTCTTGAATATTCACGCTCTAGAACAATTGAACGCGCAACTCGCAAATTTTTGGCGAAAAAGGGCCTTCACTCAGAGAAACCGGTGAGCTGCGTTGAAAGAAGGCAGAACTGATAGAAAGGTACTGAGGGTCTAGTTGTATAAGACCTCCCGGGTCGCGTGGCATAGGAACCGCTGACCACAATGTGCGCCATAGCAGAAGTACGTGTTTCTTGATATTGAATGGGCCCGGCGGGTTGAATGATCAAGTGTATCCCATGATATTGAAGCGCGTAGTGGGGAAGACTCGTTCCACCCCTTTGCTGAAGGGCAGGGCGGTCAACTGAGCAACAATGCCAGTGAAAATAATGGAAGAATCTAAGAGCGAATTAAGCAAGCAAAATCAATACGAAAAAGTCAACTTACACTGTATAGAGAAAAACTGGCTTCGGAGAGCCAAGATGAGGATGGTGTAGAAGATATTCAAACCCCATAGCCAGCTTACGAAGGTCTCAATGAAGGTCCTCAGAGCTGCTGAGGTTTAATAATGACAACGTAAAATCCATTGATGCGACTAACATGTTATCAGCGATTCTTAGGCCAGTGTTTAACTCTGTCGCCAACCATATTACCGATTTGCAGATTTGGATCTGTTTATCTTAGAGTCGCGCCTCACTGACCGTGATGCATAGGCCCGCCTTATGCGAATATTGAGCATTGAGTACCCCTGCTTTCACGCCTGACAAGGTACGCCTGTCCAATTACTCGGTTATCAGTGATGGTGCCTTGATGACAGGTGAGGCAGAACACGACACTCGTACAACTTACTTATGAACGCGTTGTACTTGACCAGAATTGAAGTAGTGAATGTGACGTTTTCAAAGGGATGCGTCGAAGACGGGATGTGGCGCAGCCGATACTCGCACAACCAGCTGGGGTGTGCGGATACTCCATGTCGGTGGTCCCGTCATGATCGAGACGATAACGGACTGACTTCGTTCCTGAAGTCAAAGTGAAGTAGCAAGTCGTTAGATGGAGTGATTGGGGCCAAAGTTTCCGTCGAACTCGTTTGGCCTTTGACGACGGGGTATGCAGAAGAGGATCCCGAGGGAAATCGTAGCAATACCTTAGACGACGGCGCCCAGAGGGTGGAAAGTATGTGGATACCTAGACTGTTTGATACGGGTTGATTTGTTGAACTAGCGCTTCATGTCTAGAGAGACGTGCGAACAAGATATACAAAGCGAAACCAATGTAGCTTCCCGAATACCTAACGCCGGGTGTTTGTCATTTGAGTCGCACCGAAAACGCCTCGACCCCTAGTTAAGTTCTAAAAGAGCTAGGGTTGATTACCTTCAACGATGCACAAGTGAATGACATGTCAACCCACTACCAACTCTGGAACAAGTATTCAATTTGGGCGGGGGTTGAATAAAGAGATATTTTCGGGACGCTTGCCTTGATAAAAAATGTGCCACAGACCTGAATACCTATAACAGGGAGCACCTTCATTCAAAGGTATTTAGGGATTTTGCATTATTAGCATTTCTAGTACTTAACCTTAGCACGTCCATGTGATTTGATAGGAAAGGGGACTCGCATCGATGAGGTTTACGAAATCCAGGTCCTGTCCAATCGGCCTGGATGCAAGAAGCTATGAAATATGAACTTACCTATCCCTTCAACGCCTCCATGAACCAAGCCTGGCAAGGATGAAGTAGCTGTTAACAAAGAGTTAAACTGCGAGATGGGTTGCTGATTATACTTTCGTGCAAGAGCGAATGGCGGTACAATACGTAAACCACTCCAGGGATTATCGATGACTCCGTCTCTGACTTATGAGCCTTGATCTGAACGTTTCCCTGTGATGGAAGCGTTCTTCACGAATCCGCTTTCCTTTTGAATCTGATCTGAGGAGTGCAATTTCAATGGATCAAGGCTTCATTTTAAGCAGGATTTAGGAACATGCTGAAAATATATAACTTGGTCTCTCAACTCGACACGTACCAGACTGATACTGTTTCTGAAGACGCTCCCTGAGGTAGGCTGAAGAGTGAAGCCACGGACTCCGAGCCATTGCGCACTCACACAGGAGTCTGGCGCGCGTGGAACTTTATCAGCTCTGCACATGCGTCAAAGAGGATAACGGAGCGGGACGTCCGAAAACTCTCTGGAAAGCTGTGTGAGACAGTTGATCAGAGTCTAGACTGGCAGAACTTGAGACCGAACCGAATTGATAGGAAGGGGACTCACTTCAATGAGGCATCACTGACGAAATGTAGATCGATAGATATACGTGTCCGTGCACGCAAAGAACTCAGTTGGCCTTTCACAGAAGCTTTGGAATTTGAAGTAGATAAGACCGACTGGTTATCAGTTGCTAAGTCTGTCCCTGCGCGGACTTGGAAGAGCCCCCAAAAAGAGCCAGAACTGACACGCTGCTATGCCACAATGCAAACATTGCCAAATAGGGCCACGCAAGCTGTTTAAGTAGTTGGTCGTCATCCTACACTGTTTTCATTCCGCCCGCCATGTCTTATCATCTCGCAACTTGGTCATTACTGGCGGCGGCGTTGGCCCCAGCGGTCCTTGCAACCCCACTTTCTACCAATCCTTACAATATTCCTAATGGGCCGCAACTCAAGGTTGCGCCATTAATGGCTTCTGAGCATCCATATGGAACCGTCAACAACTCGTACATTGTCGTTCTTCGCGATGACCTTCCTCAGGCGGTCATGCAGAACCACTTCAACTTCCTCCAGATGGCTCACGCCTCTGACTCGTTCCTCGGTGACGAGTCTGCAGAGGGCGTCCGTCACTTTTACGACGGAGACATTAAAGGTTATGCTGGAGAGTTCACTGAGAACGTCATTGAGCAGGTACGGCGGATGCCTGAGGTCAACTTCGTAGAGAAGGACCAAATCGTCCATACCATGGATATCAGTACTCAGAAGGGCTCGCCTTGGGTAAGTTCTTTCACCGAGTACCGTGGCTTTCAGTGGAGTTGATTCCACACGCAAGGGTCTTGCCCGTGTCAGCCACCGTAACAAACTAGGCTTCAGCACTTTCACGAAGTATCTCTATGACTCGGACGGTGGTGACGGTGTTGACGTCTATGTCGTTGATACTGGTATCAATGTCGCCCACTCCGAATTCGAGGGTCGCGCTTCTTGGGGCAAGACTATTCCGACCAATGACGTTGATGAGGACGGCAATGGCCATGGTACGCACTGTGCTGGTACTATTGCTTCCCGTAAGTATGGTGTCGCCAAGAAGGCAAACGTCATCGCTGTCAAGGTGCTGGGTTCCAACGGTAGTGGTACCATGTCTGATGTTGTTGCGGGAGTTGCATGGGCAGCTCAGTCAGCTGTTAAGAAGTTGGCAGCTGCTCGCGCTGAATTTGCCGCCACTGGGAAGACCAAGCACAAAGGATCGGTTGCAAACATGAGTCTTGGTGGCGGAAAGTCTCCCGCTCTTGATCTTGCGGTCAACCGCGCTGTTGACGCTGGCCTTCATTTTGCCGTTGCTGCCGGTATGTCGCGCCAGATAGTAAAGATCGTTGTCTGACCACAGTATCAGGTAACGACAACAAGGACGCCTGCAAGTACTCACCCGCAGCAGCCGAGAATGCCGTCACAGTCGGTGCCTCCACGCTTGGCGATGAGCGTGCATACTTCTCCAACCACGGCGAGTGTGTAGATATCTTCGCTCCCGGTACGTGTTTCCATTTGTTCAGAGATCAGCTGCTTATAAGCACTGCTTTCACAGGTCTTAACATCCTGTCCACGTACATTGGTAGCAAAGATGCTATCGCTACCCTCTCTGGTACTTCAATGGCGTCTCCCCATACCGCTGGCGTGCTTGCATACCTTTTGTCAATTTACCCCTCTGCCACCTTCGATCCTACGTTGAGCTCGACGTTCCTTCCTTCAGCACTCAACCTCGAGCACCCTTATTCCTCATTCTACTCTCTCTGTCATGCTGCCCTCCCACGCTGGATAACCGACTTCATGCCGTCACCGCAGCTGTTCGTCAATGCGCCCATCCCTGACGGTCCAGCTGTACTCTCCCCTTTGGAGCTCAAGAGAGCTCTTCGCAAGCTCGCATCGTCGAACATGCTTAGTGATCTGCCCCCGAAGACAGTGAACTTGCTCATTTTCAACAACGCTACCGCTTGAACGTGATAAGTATATAACCAGCAGGCAATTCGCCGTTATGTTGCATGGTTTCTGCAGCCTCACCTATTTAGTTGCAGTTGTATTATATATCTAAATCATCATACATATCATGGATTAACATTGAGAGTCTGAGAGATCTGTTGAGCGATTTCGCGTGTTGTCTCCGGTAATAATAATAATTGTGGACATAGGGCGCCCCACGGCCCATGTGATGGCCAACCTGCGCTGTCGCAAAGCAAATGTGGGATTCAGTACTTAGTTGAATGTGCTTAGCACTCGTCTCTTATTTTCGCGATTCGAGTTAGATAATCTGGTGGTTTGCGTGATTTCTGAATACATATCATACAAAGTGTGAGCGCTTTGGGATAGTAACTAGTGTTGATAAGAATTGCGCCCATAGTACAAATCTTGAATTTCTGTGATTCGCAATTTAGATGTTTTGTATCTGCGCCACCGCCTCGGTCTCTGGCTTGAGACTCGCCCAAAGGCTGTCGATAGCGTGCACTGGGTTCCAACCGATCAATTTAGCTCGTTCCGCCCGCACACGGGAGTTCGATCCAAGATATGGGCCCTATCAATGTTTGGTTCGTTAGTACTCCGTAGACAACAAGCCAGATCAAAGACCTACCCCAAAATACTTCTGCAACTCTTCCTCCGTGAAAACGGTAGGTTCGGGACTCTTGCCCACCTTCATCTCATATAACAACTCAGCGATAATCTCAGAGATCCTACCCACACGATGTTCTCCATTTGCGCCGAAATAGAAGCCCTCGCGACCGTGACCTGCTCCACCTGGGCCCTTCATGGCAGCGTCGAAAACGGTGATGTATAAAGTAGCTATGTCATTGATGTGAATGTTGGGCCATAGATTCAACCCTTTCCCGACGACTCCACCCTGTTTTCTCTTAATGCTGGCTTTAATAAGACCAGGGATTTGTATAGAGTACGGGTTCTGAATGCCGAGTTTGACCAATGATGTATCCGCGATGCCATAAATCGTCGAAGGCAAAATAATATATGTCCGCACGTAACCTGTACCGAGCGTTTGTTATGAAACATAAGCAACAGGGTAAGAATCGACATTACCTGTTTCACCAGCAGCGACAATTTCGATGTCAACTTCACGATGAGGTTGTGTCTTGGGTAGTGACTCGATCATTGGGATGTCAAGGTCGGAATAGATTTTGTCGGTAGCATAATTTCCTGCGGCATCGTCGATAAGGATTCCGGTTCCAGACTGACAAAGTTTAGGATATCTTGAAGGTGAAGCGAACAAGAAAATACGTACAGTATGGATGAGAATAGGGACCTTGTTTGTTTCACCGTATCTCTTTTTCAATCCCAAGAGGATTGCTTTGACTGCTTGAAGGTCATCGGCGTCAGCCTGTATAGAGGTAATTAGCTATATCTCAACTCGGGAGCTTAGACTCGTTAGTGACGGACACAGGCAAAGACTACATCAGAGTCCCTAGCATGCTCTGTCAGCTTTTCAAGATCTTGGTTGGAGCCGACGACAGCTACGACACCGACGCTATTGAATAGCTCGACCTTTTCGGCGGAGCGAGTGAGAACGGTTATCTGAAACGATTCGGCCCTAGGGTGGGACAACAGTGCAGATAAAACAGATCCACCAATGTAACCTCGAATTGACAGTCAACGTTGAGTTCTATTACGGTCAAGGAGAACATACCAGTAGCACCTGTTACGAAAATGCGCGTCTTGTTGGATTCTGGCATGATCAGTGAGTTGAGCTTTGAACTGGGAAGTGGTAGTTATCTTGGACATATATAAACTACCTGTAAGATGGCATCATGATGACATCAGAGGACTGACTTAGTCACCCTGGGTGATAGCAAGCCTTTAATCGATATTACTGGCCCGGGTACCTACTCTATAGGCTTTTTGCGCATGTAGCTCCTCCAATGCCTCACATTTGTGCGTAGCATTTGATGGGTTGGCATGACATTCCACGCCCTATAGTAGCAGTGAGAGCTTGAACCAGACGTTGGCAACTTGGAGGTCAGCCTGGTAGTACTTACGTCCTCTCGCCGCACTTTCTACATTGGTCACACGTTGTCACACATAACATAATGACATATTGTCACATCGAAACCTTCCCGGTCCAAAGTTCAGCCTATCCAACAGGAAGCCTGCAGATTCCAGAAGCTTTTCCCGACAGTCCTCTTTGTTCCATTGATCGGCTGGTAGTCCCACGGCCGCAGTGCCATACGTATCCAAAATCCTGCCAGAACGCTTAGCTCAGTGCACTTAAGATCTGGGCGCAAGTTGGTGCAGAATCTCTCGCTAGTTTCAGGAGCTGAGGAGTCTCCCCTACCAGTAGATAGACCAATCAAAAGAAGACAGTTGTTCCTTTGACGAGTACGATGTTGATAAAGTCATCCCCGATGGTCCCGGGCCATGCATCCGGGATAGCATATCTTTTACCATGTAACGCTGCAACTCCAGTCGAACTATTGACACGTATTCAGCTCCGAGGAGGTGGTCGCTTTACTTTCTGCCACGTGACCGCTTTACTACTTTCCGAAGAGCGGTGGTGCCGCAAGGCTGTCGTCTGGATGAGCAGCAAGGCGAGCACCCTAAGATTCATGCGGCCCTCACTCAATGTCACATTTAATTTCTACTTAATCTTGTCCTGGACACAATCACCCACCTCCGAGTCGTTCTCATAACGGCATTGGTTTCGCACACCGGATGTCAGGAAAGACGGATTCACAAGTACTTTCGTGACAGCAAAACTCTGTCTGCATATAGTAGTGGGTCTTTAAATATCTCTAGTCCCCACCCTCCCCGTACATCTCTCATCTCCCATATAGCCATGATTCACAACGATGCGTTCGCGAGCCTGCCCAACCTTCTGAATGTCCTTCAGGCTCATACTGGTACCAAATCAAGGCTTTTTCTTGGTGCAGCAGCTAGTGCCGTAGCCTTAACCATCATCCTGAAGCAGCTCAATGTGAAACAACCCAAGCTCATAACGGACTACGCGAAAGTAGCGAGAGAACTCGACAATAGCGGACTAGAGTTTGATGAATGGGACTTCATCATTGTTGGAGGAGGTATGTTCCGCAGCTAGAGTACCTCATGGACCTGATCTTGTCCAGGCACGGCAGGATGTGTTCTGGCATCACGCCTCTCTGAAAACCCGAATACGCGGGTTCTACTTATTGAGGCTGGTGGAAGGTCAGTGTCTGGGATGGTTTTGGTGGCTTCGAAGATGCTGAGCCTTTCCATAGCTCCAAGGGTGTCGTGGAAAGCAGGATTCCTTCTGGGTTCTTGCAACTATTCCACACCCAGCGGGATTATAATCTTTATACAGAGCCCCAGCAGCACGCAGGCAACAAGAAAAAATATTGGCCTCGCGGTAGGTCATCCCAGTCAACTCACACCTTGAAGTTATCGCGCTGATTCCCCTTTATCAGCCAAACTCCTCGGAGGATGTAAGTGGACGTTCCACCATCAAAGAGCCATCTGATATTACTTAGGCTCTGCTATGAATGCTATGATGTAAGCTGCAATGCATTCCCTTAGTTTGACCATCGTCTGACCCCTACTATCCCAGGGCGCAATACGGTGCACCATCTGATTTTGATGAGTGGGCGGAAATTGCTGGTGATAAGTCTTGGTCGTGGACTAACTTCAGCAAGCACGTAGTTCATCCCCCGTGGTCACTCCCTTCCGTTGATCTCTGTTGCTTCAGATATTTTCGCAAATTCGAGAAATACAACCCAGACCCGCGCTTTTCACACGTTGATCCCCTCCTTCGCGGTGCCAATGGACCAGTTGAGATTGGATACAACGCGCACATCTGGCCTGGCTGTGCAGGCTTTGTTCGGGCAAGCATGAACGTCGGCATCCCTTTCTCGCCCGACTTCTGCACGACCAAAGGGACGCAGGGGACAAATAAGGTGCGTCTTCCTGTTCCGCTGACTCAACGTTTTATGGCTCACTAACACCAGTCGTTACTTTGCACAGATCAGTGAGTTCACTGGTAACTATGAATATCAACAATTTCCGAATGACCAATACATAGTGACATACATCGATAGCAAGAGCACTCGTGTGACTGCTGAATCTGCATACCTCACTGATGACATCCTTTCTCGTCCAAATTTGACAGTCGTCACCTACGCCCGTGTCACCAAGGTTCTCTTTGACACTTCCAGTAGTATCCCACGTGCAATAGGTGTTGAGTTTGCCAGCAAATCTGATATGGACATAGTTGGACCCAAGTTCCATGCACGGGCGACCAAGGAAGTCATTGTCTCGTACGCAACTGTGATATGTCTTAAGCAATTGCTTACCTCGGTTTAGCGGCGGCGCCATACACTCTCCCCACATCTTGATGCTTTCTGGCATCGGTTCAGCTGTCCAGCTTTCACGTTACAACATACCTGTCGTGCTTGACGCTCCCGGAGTCGGTGCTAATCTCCTAGACCACCCAGCAGTCCCTCTTCGACTTGAGGGAAAGACAGGAAAGGGATTCAACCATCTTATGCCTTACAACATGCGCACGAGGTGCTTGTTCATGCGAGACCTCCTGCGATATCAATTGTGGGGCACTGGCCCAATCGCTTCAAATGTTGGTCATGCGTTCCTTGCACTCATATACTTGTTGAATAATGATATAGATCGGCGAGGCTGTAGCATTTTTCCGATCAGACGATCCCGTGCTTTTCCCGCCCGCGGAGTACAAGCATGACATCGAGGACGCCAACTCAGGCACAGATGCGCCTGATATCGAGCTCATCATGTGTACTACTGCAGCACGCACACACAACGGACTTCTGGGGAAAGAATTAGAGGTATATCAAATACTTACTGTCTTATTACGGTGAGCAATCAAGGCCCTGTATTTCAAACTGATCCGAGGTATCATTGTACTGCCAGTCCCACAAGCAAAGGATCACTCTTTCTCAAGTCTGCCAATCCTTGGGATAACCCACTCATAGACCCTAGGTTGGATACCTGTTTACAATCCCACCCTACTATATACTCATTGCGGATTAGCTATCTTGAAACCAAGCATGATGTTGATGTACTTGTTCGTGGCGTCCGTACTGCCTTCAAAATCGCACACACAGAACCCATGTCCACCTCCGTCACCGATGTGCACAGCACGCACCCTGGACTTGATCATCACTTCTCTCGTCTCAGTGATGCAGAGCTTGTTGATGTTATCCGGGATCGCGTGGAGACGCTATATCATCCGGTAGGGACGTGTGCGATGGGTCCGGGTGGCGTCGTGGACTCGAACTTACGTGTCCATGGCACTCAGGGTCTTCGGGTGTGTGATGCAAGTATCTTCCCCAAGTTGCCTTCAGGACACCCGGTGAGTGATGAAAGCTCTGACTGTTTTTACGTGAAAACTGATAAAGATCCAGACCGGTGCAGTTCTCGCGACAGCGGAGAAGTTGGCTGATGTTATCAAGGCTCAATACGCATGATTTGGACGTAATATTTGTACTTCCGTGACTACCCTTTACCAATTGAACCATATAGAATCCTTTCGTTGAGATGTCACACCATGATGGTACCATGATGTTCCTTCTATCCGCCCGGCTCGAATTCGGTGGTAAACCGGTAATACTTTTGATATGCCACCGCTTCAAACGAGGCGTTAATAACAGTGTCAACTCACAACTTATTAAACCTTGCCTCCAAATGACTCGGAAGAAAGGTGCATGTGTATATATTACTAGCCAGTCACACTCGTCGCCGAAGTCGCACGGCCAGATCCAAGCGAATGCATAGAGAGTTAGTCAAGTAAAACTGTGCAACATGCTATCCGGAGTTTCGTACTAGCTCCATACTAGTAGCCGCGGGGGCGGCTGCTCGAACTTGAATTCAACTCGTCAATGGGTACCTTGCGTTGGATCCTTGTCCCAATCAAGGATCAAATGCAGGGTACCAATAATCATGAAGTTGTGATATGGCGTACTTGGTTGCCCGTCAAAATGTAGACCGCTAACCTTACTTATAGTTGTACTCTATGCGCGTCAACGGCAGATTGGCACCACAAGAGGGTAAGGTTAGGGTGAGAGAATTCGAGTACAACCGATATTGACATGTAACACTGTTTTGGACTGACAGAGTTCGTTGAGTAATTTGGGCGAAAGGCTTTCCCGGTCCGAAACAAGGGTCCGAACCTGTGCGTTGAGGTGAGCTGTGAGAGCGGGTGGGTCCGATCAACTTGCAAACCTTTCTGTGATAGCGACACTCAGGAAGCGGTCACCAATATTATGCGTCGGACAAATGGTATGTTTTGATCTTTAGCTGTTTTGGTGATATTTCCACTTTTTAAACTAGCATTTGTTCGTCCAATGATCGGGGAGTGGCGGGTGGGTGCAAAAGACTGGACTGGTGTCTAGAACTTAAGACGATAAACTTTGGCTGAGGTGGGCAGAAGCAACAAGTCTGCGCCACCTCGCCTAAATTTGCACATAGACTTAATTCTACGCTGGCCTCGTACCTCGGCCTGCTTAGAAAGCCATCTGCTCTATCATGATCGCTGCGATTTGCAATTGGGGCGTGATTTGGCAGAATGATAAAGACATCTGTAATAACCATTTTGGAGGCTTCTCGCAGGCGGGATGGAAATGATGGCCGTTGCTTTGGATGTGGAGTGTCGGGTGGAGGTAGGAAGTTCAGATCACGTAATTCACGTCCAGGCGCGTCACAGGGAATAGCTGTATGGGGGGCTCGAATTAACTGTCAACACGAACACCATGCCCGGTGTACCAGCAGGGAAATCATCGGATGCCTTTGTACCTTCAGACGACAACTTGATGGAAGAGGGTTCGGCTTTGATGTCAGCTAATATATATGATAGAGTCCTTAGTACTCTATCCGATCTACCCATTTTGAGTACTCCTTCAGCCTGTCTTCAAGTTCGTCAACATCTTCTGTGGCTTCGTCCGGTTGAACCCTCGCTGGTATTAGCGGCACTGACTCGTCAATGCATCCACCTCCTCTCTCAAGGTCACAGACTTGGTCGCTACCACAATCTTTAATCCCATCGTCGTCTATATCCTCTGCAGTTTCGACCTTTGTTGGTATCTGCGCCACTGAGTCATCCCCTTCATTCCCTTTCTCAAGGTCACGAAGTTGATTACTCCCACTACACCGTATTGGATGAGCGGATCTGAGTCTAAGCAGTACGATGTCTCACCTAGGTTCATTCCTCATTAGCATTCCAGACCTTTCGAGTTCGTCTTCGTCGATATCCTCTATGGCATCGTCTGCCAGTTGAACTTTAATGCACTTTCCAATATAACGAAGGTCACGTCGATCCAGATATTTGTCATGTGGAGTGGAGCCCAATACTTCGGCAGTTCTCGGTAGGCGAGTCGTGAGCCAAATGATATGTAGAACTCCGAAGCCCCCGACAAAACCCTCGTGACTGGGAGTAAGTCCAGCCAACGCGAGGATCGAAACCAAAGCGACGGATGAGGCCACAAGCGCCGCCAACAATGGAATTTGAGAAAACTGAAATAAGGGCTGTAAAGCCGCACACGTTCAAGATGGAGGGTGAACTCACGTGGACCCTTATCGTATTTACATTTTGGTTGATTTCAACCTGTCCGGTTGCCCTGTCAAACCCCCCTTCACGCCCGCCAAGCTGTGCAGCTAGAGAAAAATCGTGATCAGCTTTCCTGGGTCGGAAAAGGTAAGGAAGCGACCTGTCCAGATCATCATCCCAAAGTACTGGGATAAAGCCCGTTCCAGCTCGATTGGAGACAAAGTGAAGGTGGGCGTGCTGTTGTTAAACATTGTAGGAATTATCTGCTCCTGGGTCATATTCAGAAAACCCATAAGTAGTCTAGGCAATGTCACAGATCGTAAGTCTCATTCTCGTTGCAATATTCATGGATATTGAACTGACCTTTCGGGCATATATCCGCACATACTACCATTACTGCCGCCTACACATGGCCCAGATAAAATGCTGTTGTTCCAGTATATCGCTTCCACCGGTGTTCCTTCAAACGGCTTTGCGAAGAAAGGTGCTTCGGTCTGTAAGTTGGGTCACTACACTTAAGACGGCAGGGCATGAAAACTAATTCCACACACCCAATTCAAGGCTTGATTTGTGGAGGGAGAATTCCCTGGGAAGATTGTCCATCGATTGTCAGAGGATGCCGAATTATATGTAGTATCAAGAAGTAAATTGGATTGAACGTCGACGGTAGCCACATGCTTCTCAAGAGACATGTGACACGCAACCATGTATCCTACCACTTGTGTACTAGACACTTCATGCCCTAGTAAAAATTATAACAAGATATTCAACGTCACTATGTCCCAGGGGAATCATGCTCACCATTGCTGTCATACGTTGCCCATGGCATAGACATTGAAGCGTTCTCTAGCACCACTCCACTTTCAGCCATTGCCGTCGTAACAAGAAAAGTAAGATAATCCTGCGAGGTCTGTTAACAATGACCTATGCCATAGTGGTGTTCGCAGTTCATCTACCTCAACAGACACAATGTGCAACACTTGATCTGACCCTGCATACCGGTGATTAGTAGCTGTGGACATCAAATAATTAACAAACATACAAGGAATCACGCTGATGAAGTCTTCAAGTTGAGGGGAGCCATCAGCATTGGACCAAAACGAACTCGGCAACAAGGAGCAGTTGGCATCTATGAGCGTTGCATTCACAACTGCAGTTCCAAATCCAGGATTTGGAGATAATTCGTCGTACAATAAGCCGCCTGATAGCCCCGTGGTCACCACCCCCTTGGTCTGATTTGAAGACAAGGCAGCCGAAGTTATCACATTCCAATCCAGAGCGCTGATATTTGTCGTTAGATCTGGCCATGCGAGTTGCGTAGATGATGACCCGGCGACGGTGATGGTGTAAGTTTGAGGCGAAACGATGTATGGTCGCAGGAAAGAAATGCTTGAGAGGGAAAAGAGGTAGCAAAACACGCAAAAGATCCTCATGGGAGACCTGAAACCAGGATATGAACCCTGGGATAAAAGGCAAAGGCAAGCCGAACTCCAGCTACGCCAGGAACTCCTGACGTCATGCAATGAAGAAAGAGACTGGAAGCGTGCTAGATCATGGGGAAGGGTGACAGTTTGAGCCAAGTAAACTAGGGCGGCGACCGACAACTACAGAGCGTCATCAGTCTACATTTCGGCCAACCTGCTGAGTCTTACAGTATAGTATGCCTGTATACACTCGCGAATGCCAAACTCCCACGTCTCAATATGAGACGTGACTGAGAACACAATGTCTTCTTTATTGTAGTGGTTGGTTGCAAAAAGGAGGAGAGCATTTAGGATAACAAAGAGGGCATGTAAGATCATGCAAAGCCAGTGTTGCATGAATTGATTGGGGCGGTGTGTCTTCGTCTCTGAAATAATGAACGGCTTAGTATACAAGAGGCACCAATTCCGAAGTGGCACCTTTGTGGCTCCCCAACACTCTGTACTTGAAGGAGAACAATCTCAGCGACTTCATTCGGTGCCAAGGAGTGCCCGCACAAGCGCAAATTCCATGCCAGATTCGTTGAAATACACCTGGTTTAGTCGCAGATGTGCAGTCCGAACCTGCTATATCTGGGAGGTCATCAATTGCAAAAACCCGACTACTATCTTGAACTCCAACTCGAAACATTCCGGCCCTGCGGAGCACCTGATTATCAGGATATAAAATTCTGGCGAATTGGGTTGTAAGATCCTGTGAATGTTTTGCCAACCACATGAATGCCAGGTTAGACGTCTGTACACTTGTTCCTGTCCTTCTTGCAGAAATACGAATAACGAGTGCAAGAAGATAGCAGGAAGCGAGCAAGGCGAGAAGGTTCTAGATTTCGTCCTTAGTTCTGAGATTGCAAGTGAAATATAGAGTCACATACCGAAGTATAATCAAACTGATGTAAAGATTTTTTTTATCAGCGTCTCCATAGTAGCAGCAGTGCAGGAGAACGCGAGCAACGTACTTCCAGACGGTTCCCCAATACAAACTGTGTTACTTCCGCTTCAGCTTCGGTCCGTTGAAACCCCCCGCCAGAATCACCCAACTCCCCGGCTGTTAAATAATATTAACACTATACTTGTCTTGAGATATGCAAAGGAAAATGCTGACCTATCCAGACGACTTTTGCATACAATCTTGATAATGCCGTCTCCATCTGATGTTTTGATATCATGAATGACGGTGTTGTATTGAAATGCTCGTTTCCACTCGGGGCCGTATCTTGCGTGATATTGATGGGAACATCGGGGATGATACTACTGAAGGGCATGCCTATCAACTGCATGAGTAGCCTGTCGAGAATGAAGTGAGTAATTTAGATGCTTATAAATGGGAGGATGTGCGCACAGTTCTCCTACTGACGTGTTCCTGTTGCATGGGTAATGGTCGATCTTGTCAAAGCAGGTTCTTATGCCCGTGTAAGAAATTTGCGTCTTAAATGGCATTGTAATCTGAGTGGACATCATTATCATTAATTCTGATATGCACGTGCATGCAGGAAACATACCACGCCGCCATCGACGATTTGCTCGGGAGGCAAAGATGCGAGTGCTGGTATGGTTGTCCATTGCGGAGGGGATGCAGGCATTTCTGGGACGACCAGTAAAGTGTTTGTCTGCGCATCCACGGTAGCATTTCGGCGAAGTAGTGATACGTTGCAGATTGCAAAGTGCAAGTCGATAGAGCTCCGAGTACTATTTCCAGCAACTTTGCAACAAGGTTAGCCATGGACTAGCTATCCGAAAGGTGTACGTACGGTCGCTATCATAATACCAGGTTCCTTGCATTGTTGTTTCGTCAATTGAGGGATTTTCAGCAGTCCCAGTCGTCAACAGGAAATTGAGCCAGCCCTGAAATCTTTAGTACATACCTCAAAAACGTGTTCGACTTGCTCACCCCAATCAATGGACTGTCAAGAAGATACAATACTTGGTCTTTCCCTGATAGAGATGAGTCAGTTGCGACTCGGTCAATAATGGGCTCACATGGAATTGCATCCAAAGCAAGGGTGGTTGTTGCGTTGGTATAGATCAAAGGCTCGTTTGCGACACTTTGCTCGTACGATAAATTTTGTGCAAGGAAGCATGTGACGCTCACTTCTGTGGCAGTCACAGTTGCGTTTCCTGTCGCATCAGGGGATATAATGTCATAGAGGAAACCGTCACCGAGTCCTATGGCTGTCGGAGATAACTGCCCAAGTTTCGATGCCACAGATAGTATTGTTAACCAATTCCAATTCTGGGTGTTCACAGTAGCATCTAGCCATGTCGATAGCGCAGGTACTGCAAAGGTATGGACCCTTTCAGCAGATGTAGGGACTAGCACCATAGTAGCATGAGAACGCAAAAAGGTGAGGCCTATGACATAGAAAAGAAAGACAGTCGCCTCTGAGCAGGCCGTGGCAGTCATTCGTTGGTCCCAAAGAGCAGCTAGTGCGGCGCCAGGTCCATACATGGCATTCAACATGTCGTATATCGCAGTCAATCTAAATTCGCCACCAAACAGCTGTTTGAAAATGAGATTGTACGTCGAGAAACTTAGCAAATTCAACCATATCTAGGAAATCTTTAATTACTTCCGATTTTAGTGATAAACTAGTACACGTACCTCATAACCAATGACGCAAAGTAAAAAGCCCCAATCAACTTGCAAGTGGATGGAACGGATCGTGTAGGTGGAAGGGGTCATTGTGAAGTCAAAGTTGCGCATGTATAACAGGAGTAAACCGCAGTGGATGATTATGGGGACTACATGGCATGCAATGCAAATGACCTTCAAGTTCAAGTCGACTCGCGACTGCTTTGTTGAAACTGTGGGGCGTATTGATGAATGTGCTGGTGGGTGGGGTTCTATGATGTCCATCATCAATGTTAGAACTGGGGGATGCCTTGGCCAGACCATATATATATATGGCTGTTCAACTTGATCTGAAAAAACCCACCTTCTCGCTTAAGTCACTTGACGGGTTACGACCTGCACCTTGAAGCATCTGATTGGTTGGAGATGCAGCTTATGGTGCGGATATCTACAAAGTTCAATATCGTGTCTTTTGGCATCTTATCTTTACTTAGATAGTGAAGTGATACGATGCTAATGAGACATTGAAATCTCATGCAAGAACTTAACCGTGACATACCGACACCTGTGGTTCCCACGTAACCACCCTATAGCTAATTAAACGTGGCGGGTAGGCTTGATGCGGCGGGTCTAATACGATTGGTTTTTGGTTGTACGCACCCAAATGAATAATTATTCTATAAAGGATGGCCTTCAATGGGGCTAGTGGCCCAGTGGTGTAGGCCTTGATTAGTTAGTTATATTTGATTCATTTGCGTATTAGCAATCGTTTTGTTCGCACGGTCGCGTGCTCTGTGATTGATTAATCTAGACTATTGTCACAATTAGCGCAGGTTCAATATTGCAACCACGATGTCCATTGCACACGGAATAAAACGACTAGGTGTCCTCGGTGCAGGCCAAATGGGCACCGGCATCGCCTTCGTATCCGCCCTCCACGCCAAAGTCCCAGTCCTCCTCCACGACAAATCTGCACACCAAATCTCCAAAGGCCTCTCCCTCATAGACAAGCTCCTAGCCAAAGATGTGTCTAAAGGCCGGCTCCAACCGTCCGATGCAGATGAAGCGCGTGCACGCATCCAAACCGTAGACGCCCTCGAAGCCATGCGCGATGTAGATATGGTCGTAGAAGCCGTAACTGAGAACCTAGACCTCAAACGCGCTATATTCCGTGATTTTGCGGCGAAGATCCGTCCGGATGCGATTTTGGCTACAAACACGTCTTCGATTAGTATTACGAAGATTGCGCGGGCCGTTATTCCCGAGGGGGCATCTGCGGCGGGGGAGGAGGGGAAGGCTGCGTCTGGGAGGGTGGTTGGTGAGTGTTTAGGATGGTGTATGGGTAATGATCGATTGACGGCAGGTGTTCTAAGGTCTGCATTTTTTCAACCCTGTACCTGTCATGGTGATGCAGCTGTTTACTGTGTTTTGAATGACGTGTTGATGCCATGTATGAATGTCAGAAACTCGTGGAGCTCATATCTGCGGTGCAAACGTCACAAGACACGCTAGATCGCTCACGCGCATTCGCTGAAGCGTGCGGGAAAGGTATTTGTCTTTATGGGATGTATTGTTCCGTTGTTCACGCTCCGATAAGAGGTCGCTACGTCGCAGGACGTGCCTGGGTTCGTGTCTAACGCGTTGCTTATGCCGTTTATCAATGAGGTGAATACCTTTGTCTGTTGTCTGTACGTCGTGTGTTTAATTTCACCCCAGGCGATCATGTGCTTAGAGAAGGTGATGATCCGACACTAACGGATGATTATCGGTTTTACTGACGCTTGTGTCGTGTGTCCAGGGCGTTGCGACTCGTGATGACATCGACAAGACGTTCAGGTTGGGCATGGCACATCCTATGGGGCCGTTACAACTTGGTGAGTTGCTGTAGCGAGATGTGTTGTATCTTTCTGATGGTCACGCACGATTTTCTATAGCTGATTTGTAAGTGCAATTATCATCTTTTTACTGTCTGCGTCGCTCATCGGGAGATTAGTATCGGTCTTGATACTTGCCTCTCTATTCAACAGACGCTCTACAAGGGTACCTCGGATTCCAAGTATCGCCCTTCGGTGTTGCTTGAGCGTATGGTGGATGCTCAGTATCTTGGAAAGAAAAGCGGTCGAGGATTTTATGAGTACAATAACTGATAATTATCTCCTACTTGTATCCATCTACGTGCAAAGAACACTATTTTTTCCGGAATAACCCCTATGCCAGGTCATGTGAGATACTTACCAAAGTCTAATCTATTCCCGTGCATACCAACAACATCGTCTTGAACCTCACAGATGCCTCCCAAATCCCTTATCGATCTCTCGCATCCCCTCACGCCCCAATCGAGCATCTACCCCGGAGATCCACCCTTCGCGACACACAGCGTGTGTAACATCCCCACCGACGGATACACCGTACACGCTGTCTCGCTCGGAACGCACACGGGGACACACGTTGATGCCCCATTTCACTTCTTCGCCCATGGCCAGAAGCTGCATGAGCTCTCTCTCGAGCGATTCGTCGGCCGCGCTTTAGTCGTCGATGTGAGGCACCTAGCGCAGGTGAGGGGGTGCATTCAGTGGAGGGATGTGCGAGAGAGCCTCGATCGGAGTCGTGGGACACTTGCTTCCCTTGGGCCGCGGTCGGAAGGGAAGATCGATATAGTGCTGTTCTGGACGGGGTGGGATGGATGGTGGAGCGAGCGGAAGTACTTCGACCATCCGTATTTTGGGAGAGATGTCGCCGAGGAGCTTGTTGAGATGGGCGTACGGCTCGTGGGTGTTGATACGCTAAGCCCGGATGAGACTGTTCTAGTGCAGGATGGAGGGAAGGAGAAGGAGGATGCGTTTGTGATGCATGAGGTGCTTTTGGGTCGTGGATGTTTGATTTGCGAGAATTTGACGAATTTGGGGAAGCTTGTGGGTGGGGATTCTGAAGAAGGAGAGGAGGTATATGTGAGCCTTGTGCCTCTGAGTTTACACGGTGCAGATGGGGCTCCTGTACGGGCGTACGGGTGGACTGAGAAAATTGGGTAGACGACAATCTTGTCGTGAATACAAATATATTGATCTCGTGACGAACCGTGCACGCGTGCATCTTCACTTACCTTATCTAATGTTCTAATCTAAACGTTTCGCCATGAAGATATGAAACTCGTACGGAACTCAGGTGTCAGCAGGTCACCCTTAGTCCTTAGAAGCTGTGCCGCTCCTCTGGGCCGCTGAATGTCAAGGGAACAGATACACCTCTTGGTAGAAGGTCGCACCGGGCCAGGCGGGCCTGTCCTGTCATTCACGATTCCTAACGTACATAGTTACCGTCATATGTAAAGAAACATGTGTTCAAGTCAACTTCAAGTCGTAAATAAGTCATATCAAAATAATAGGATTTCATACATAATTGAGACACCTGGCTCCCACAGTTCGTATGCAACCGCGATGATGATCGACCTCACCCACACGCTGACGACGTCGACAGAAGCCCCGATGTCGATATGGCCGGGGCACCCAACACTGGAAATGACAAAAGTTGCCACTATCCCGGAGCAGAATGCGAACGTGACGCTTATTTCACTAGGGTCTCATACGGGAACCCACATTGATGCGCCCAACCATTTCATTGCGGACGGATTGACAGTGGACAAGTACGACTTGACTAAACTCGTGGGTCGCGCACTGGTCGTCGATGTGAGGGGGAAGAAGGCACGTGAGATGATCACCTGGGAGGACATGCAAAAATGGGAGGGAGAGATGCACGAGGGAGTGATTGTGCTCATATGCACTGGGTGGTCGCAATACTGGGGCAAAGAGAATTACGAAGAACACCCGTTCATGGATTTGGATGCGGCGAAGAAGCTTATGGAGACGGGAGTGAGAGTAATTGGATGCGATACGCTGAGCCCTGACAACATATGCTCGCCTGAGTGCAAAGTGCACAAAGTGATACTAGGAGCGGGAGGAATGATTGCAGAGAATTTACGTGGGATAGAAGAAGTGCTGGCATTGAAGAACCCGATTGTGAGCCTGCTGCCACTCAAGTTGGATAGTTGTGATGGTTCGCCAATACGAGCGATAGCTTGGTCTGCAGGAGGTGAGTTAGTTTGACTATTTTATAAAAATCTAATTAACCGAGTTCAAGATATCTGACACGTAGCCTGACCCCAAAGTAGATGTGGGGTTTCGGAAGCAATATATCCATTAATGATTTTAACAAGTTGGATAAAAAAGCCGATAATCATTCCTCTTAGCGTCGATTAACTAGCTAAGGCTCCCAAGGCCAAGTACTTCTTCAGACTGCGCTCATCTTTTCTGCTGCGCGCTTTGCCGGATGAGCCTCGTTCGTTCTTTTGTTCGTGCGATTTCTTCATTTCCATTCTTTTCTGCTAACTTTCATCAAGGTTGATTGAAGCTTCCTTTGTAGCTTCAATTTTATGCAGACGTTCATCAACCAGGAGCGAAACACAGGAGTTTGGGAGGTTTTACCTTCTACCTTGTGGGAGATCAGGTATGGATCTGTCAGCTGGTCCTTCGACACACAATACTGTCGTGTCCCCATAAAACCTGTCTCCCATCCAAAGCCGCCCCATTACCATGGCTCCCTACTCAGGACATCCCGTCCGAGACGCCGTTATACAGTTCTTTGCAAAGCTAAACCATTCGGAGCTTCTCAAGATCCGACAACCCTACCCCATAACTCTGCGAATGAATGGCCACTCTCCGAGCCACTGAATAACAAATTCATTGGTGTTCAAATTGCAGAAGACGTTTTGAGATCGTATGAACTGAATTCCGGATTCACTCACTCGATCATGCCTGATATCACCTTGGACGAGTTGTATACTAATTGGACGAAGTTGTCGGTTGACGTCGACGAAGAGGAGGTCGAGTTTGCGAGGTCTCAGTGGGCTGCTCTTGTTCAGGATCTAGTTGGGGATATCCAACTATCCCGGGCTATATCCGCCTCCGACCTTGACGGTGCGTTTGAGATTTACGCTTTGCTTGCAAATCATTTATAATCCTTCTCCTCAGGTGGCCGTCCCCAGTCTCCGCTCTCTTCGCTGGAATACGATTCAGAGCCATCTACCGATTCTGATATGCTCCCTTCCACACCTACACAAAGGAGTGCATTTTCCGATGTTGAGGTACATCAACCCTCCCCAGTGTTAGATGTTCGTGGTCTTTCTCCACCCAAGGCTCTCAATGGGTCCGCAAGAGCTTTCACCCCCAAATCAGGCTCGCAGTCCAAGTTTTTGGTATCCTCCTCGCCAGACTCCAGCTCATGCTCGAGCTCATCTCCCGCCCCAGTCAACTTTGTATTTCCAGCTATCAACGGTAACTACCAGTACCTTCCTCCAGGCCTGAAAAAGGACGACCAAGGGTTCTACACCTCAATCACCCCACCTGGCTCACCATCTCGCGCCCGTCTTGATTCCTCTCGACCTTCCTCGCGACTGTCATCGACGCGTCTCCCGCAGTTCTTGTCCGATGCTCAGTCGCGCAAGACCTCCAAGACTAGAGTCATTGTAGACCAGATGAGATCCACTCCCGTTGCTAGCAAGAAAGGCAGGCCTCGCAATCACTCCAAATCCCCACCCGACAACTCGCCAAGACCTTCCACATCACACAGTAACACGGGAGACCAAAAGGGTCCCGACTCCGTGCAAGGCAGAGGCAGAGACCGCAACGACTCTGATCCAGACTCACCCTTCGGCCCTGAAAACCACATCACGCCAGGGAGAGGCGGGTGGGTGGAACTCCCATCGCCTCCTGTTGGTGTTAAAGCAGGGATTCCCAGTAGCGCTGCACGTCCGTCGTTCCTTACATCATCTTCATTTTCAGACGCGCCCTTCCTCATACAGCCCCCCACGCCTCCTGGGCCCTTCTATCACCTCCCACGCGCGTCGGGTTATCCATACTCGTACGTCCCAGCCAGCGCTCCACCGCCACCACTGACCTCATGGGTCCTTATCACTGCTCCCGCTTATCCAAGCAACATGCACCCACGACCCGTCGTGTGGTGATGGTGCTTATGTAGAAACACCTTTTTTGTCATTCGTCATTCATCATAATTGCTGTATGTAGCACCACTCCCTCTCTTATTGTTTGTCTTGGAGGTGATGACGGACCTTTGGGACTGTCTGCTGTAACTGATTGTTCTGTTCTTGTCACATTGTGCTTTATGTATGCGTCCTGTGTGTTCCGTTCGTTGTCTTGGTTTATGCTTACATGTTGTATGCGAGCGGTATACCGTATTATGCAAAGATACTAACATTACATAATAAGAATGGGATCTTTGGGGGTTGAGCTGATCGTTGATTTCGGGAGACAAAGGACTATCTAGCATGGGGAGACTTATGCAAGTTAGCGCTCTGTGAAACTTCCAAGTGGTATATAGTCAGGATTCAGTACTCAGGCTCATTGTCCCTCCCACTGCAAGACATGTGGACCACGGATGATCCCCTGCTAGACCCTTTGAGTTCATAGTTTCTTTGACGGTAGTTTGCTGGAAAGTAAATACTGTGAGATGTCAAGCCTCTTACTTCGCACTGGCAGCCTGCGGGAGCAAACATGCTGGACACGGTGGTTCAAGTTGACTACCGTAGGAAACCAGGGGAGTCCTTAAGTGGATATGTGTCACGTAAGATATTACCTGCTGCGCTCAGCTGCAATGCCTTCAGGCTGCTACTTCTGCTAGTAACTTTTCATGGCGTCCGTCATCCCGGTGATTTTCATACTCGCCATAGTCCTAGGACTAATGGCTTGTGGCTACCTCTTCGTTCCAAAGGGCCCACATCAAACGTATGCCTTCTTCACCTTTTCGAAATCCGAACTACTAATACCCTCGAATGCAGGACAATTCGTACGGCCATCATGCTCACGCTTGCATCATGTTATCTTATGTGGATGATCACATATATGGCCCAGCTACATCCTCTCATCAGTAAGTCCTGATATTTGTTGTTGCAGTTTCACTGGCTAACGCATGAACTTCAGCACCATATCGTTCAACAAAGGGCGGCGAGAGTTTATGATAGTCACGCGCCGTCTGAGTAGGAAATAGACGTACACCGCTGTTGCTATTACAGATTCTGCATTAATGAAAGAACACCTCGGAGTCCGCTGTTCCAGATCAGTGAGTGCCCCGTCGCGTGTACCTTGCATTCGAAGATACGTCACAGGCGCTTCGCCAGACTCTGGTATCCCCAACCACCTTCCTCGTATGATGCAACTTATACATCTGTATCAACGGATTCCATCCGGTGCAAACGCGCTGTATTTTGATTCTTATAATCCAAGCAAAAATACCGCCGTCAGAACTTTGACTGTTCATTCGACTGATAAACCATATCCTACGCGAGAAAAAGATCGATGACATGCCGCGCGGTATGGTGGATTCGAAGGTTACGGGAGCGGTGGCAGAGAATAATGTGATGGACGGTGTTGGTGTGCGTTGAGACAGAAAAAGATGTGAGTGAAGACAAGGCTTGAGTAGTACTGATCGAGTCGTAGTCTGCAGTGAAGGGCGGGAGCCGGAGCTTCGAGTCGGCGGTGTATTGCAGGGGAAGGTCTTAGCGCAGGCGGTTCCTCGTCGTCTGTAACACTTCTTGACATGACCAAGTACTAACGATAATTGGCACTTGTACGCGGTTGGTACGCGGTGGCCAGTGTCAAATGTTTTCATCGTCGGCGCTTTCTTCCCACTTCGTCTTCAACATTCCCACGAATTTTATTCCGCACTTCTTCCAGTCTTTCGAGAATCGACCTGCCCCCTCGACGTACATATTTGGTGCGTCGGGCCCACCCCTGCAAGCGTCACCCTATCACCCCTATTTACTGGACTTTTGTAGGCATGGTGCATCCGCAGGACTGCCATAGTACTAGGTGCGCACCTGATAGCGCGCCGCCCTAGGGTGGGCCACCCTCTCCGACCCATAATACTAAGATCGGGACAGCTGAGAATACTTATGTAAGTCCAAGAGCTTCAGCCGCTCCAGATCACGTCTAGCTTACCATATGCAAGTGGTTCGAATTCAATCCTATTGCAATGTCAATACTCCTGCCATTCCACAAATTAATACTTGGATTGAGTTATATGTGAAAATCAGCCTCAGCAAGTGTATTGCACACCAGTGCCACTGATTCAGAAAAGCAGTGGTGAAGTATAAATGGATGATGGTCTTGAGGCCCTCTTCTTCTACAGTACATTGGTTCTTCACCTTCCTTCATTCTGTCCATGCATTATGTACAACAGGGTGAAGTGGCAATATCACCATCTGACCTGCTGCCACCCTATGATGAAGAAGATTGAGCCAGAGACAGTGAGACTGAATGTCTTTGAATTGTCATTGTCTGTTATCAAGATGGTAAAGTTGAAGCACAGTGGGAGAGTAAACAGGTTTGTTGTTGAATTTTTTGTATCATTGCTGCTTATGCACATAACTCCAGGACAAATCTCAGGACTTGCCTATGCTAGCAGTCTACAAGTGCATAGACTTGGACTTGATTTCTGTGCTGGAATAGACAGCTCCTTTGTCATTGGGCACACCCATTCTTGACCTCCTTCAAGCAAACCACCCTGTCTTATTGATGGATCCAATACATGATGATACTGTCTATGTCTACCATGCTTTTGGTGTCCATGTCCTTAATTTTGGAGACCTGCTGCAATGCCTCACCAGTGGACTCCATGCAGATGATGATGATGGTGTTGTATTGAACCAAGCATTGCAAAAGTGGGCAGGCACGCATGTTGTGCCCTTGCTGAATACCTATTCAGTGGACCAAAGGCATGTGGATGAATAAGCTTCTACAATCTTAATAATTCACCAGTCAATAGATGCTTGAATCTGATTATTGCTATATCTGTACCAGATGACGTCTATCTCTCACACAGTATCCTAATTCTTACCTCCATCTTCCATTTCACATCCTTTCCCCTCAACCTTCACACTGATCTTTCTCTCTCTTGAATGGCCCCTCATCTTCCTGACAAAAATAAAACTTCTGGGACAGTGGATTTTCTTGCGCCCATTGAAGGACCATTGGCACACATCTCACTTCTAGGCACAGAGCCCTTTGTGCCACCTCCAGCACTTTCATGTCCCTCTGGCCTGCCTAATAATCCTTGTATTGTGACTCCAAACACCAAAACAGAATTTGTGCTCGCCCCTGAAACATTGCAATATCTGGGTTCCACAATTGAAGGCTTGACGTTGCAGATCCATAAAATTATTCTCACATACAAAGCCACAGAAGTATGAGCTGAACTGCAGGCAAAGGAATTTGAGCATCAACAACAGAAGTGTAGTGTGATGCTTGATCTCATTGAACAACTGGGTGGCTTGTGGAATAGATCAGTGGCAAGAGGATTGATTGATCATTGATCAGGGTGTGTGTCAGTGCTACACAGCATGATGCAGTGGACACCATTGATATGGAACTGACAGCAATACAGTGTGACTGTATATCAAATTTATATCATGACATCAGTACTATTCTTAGCTAGTAGTTGTGACTCTAATATTATGATATTGCACACTCAGGCCCACCATGGCTTAATTGAACTTTCAAACCATGCTTCCCATGATGCAGCATCTCTGAGTGATGCATTGAGGATATACATCTTGGTAAATATCCTCACTCATTCAATCAGGACCCACAACTCAGCTGATGCAATCCTCTGATCAAGAACCATCAACATTCTATCAAAGCATTCTCCAGTGTGACAAGATATTTGTGTCAGCTACATGTGTCCCATCCTGGTGCAGACATCCAGTATGAATCTGGATTCAGGGTATTAGCCAGCATCATCACTGCACATCAGAGGGACAAGGAGTGTTAATATCAGGGCATGTCGTGCAATCACCCTGGTGGGCCAATACTGTGAGTTAGCATTTAAAAAATCATTGAATATGATGTTGTCCATACATGATCAATTCATATATGCATGGATGATATGTGATACAGGAAGATATTCATCAATAAAGTAGACTTCACATACTATAACACAATGTTGATGTCATGAATGGGCATATACAACTTTGCAGATGCTGAATGGCATCGAGCAAGCTCACTTTATGCGCACAATAGCTCAGGTACATGCTGAGTCAAGCATTGGGACATGTCAAGCTGTGCAGAAGTTTGTGATTGGTGAAAGAAGCTTGAAGTCATGACAACACATGACAACATAGGGAACAGATTAAGAAGACCATAGAATAATGATGTGACAGAAGTCATGTACAACTTTAAGAAAGAATATACACTCACAAAGGTGCAAGACACATAGGCTCATACAAAACACCTCATTGGATGAGTAGCACAATGTCCCAACAAGGAGTGATGAAAAGACAAACAGATAAGAAGAGGACAGAGGAGTGATGCAAAAGATCCAATGTGTGATTGTACAACAGTTATACACCCACAAAGGCGGCAACATGTGAAATCACCAAGAACATCATTGTCAGAGCAACTGCTTGATACCCCAACAAGGAGCTATGACAATACAACCTGGTTGGAATATGGTGAGAGAGTCAGGGAAAAGATCCAACACAAGACTGTAAAGCACAGACTAACACCCATGAAGGCATGGAACACATGCAACCACTGAGAACATCACTGTCAGAGCAACTGCTCAAAACCCCAACAAGGAGCTATGACAAGACAGACAGGTTAGGAAGACAATGAGAGAGTCAAAGGAGAGATCCAATGTGTGACTGTCACAACAGATGCTGTGCCTGTGAAGGCTGCCTAACACATGAAATAACCAAGAAAGTCTTGTCCAAGCAACTGCTCAACACCCTAACAAGGAGTTACAACAAGACAGACCAGTGGGAAGATAGTGAGAGAATTGTAGGAGGGAACCAACATGTGAAATAACCATGAAAGTCTTGTCTGAGCAACTGCTCAAAACTCCAACAAGGAGCTACAACAAGACAAACAGGTTGGAAGATGATGGGAGAGTGAGAGAAGGAGGAAATGGAGAATGAAAATCAAACTTCAACCATTTCAACCATCACATGACATTCCCACACTGTGCATAGTAACTTTGCCATAAATGGATGTCTCATCAAACTATCATGTCTACATTTTCATGAGTCTACAATTACACTTCTGTGACTGTTCTGACCATCAGTTGGAACTTCGGCTGTGGATAAGATAAATACCAAGGTTTCTATAAAGGCTTACCAGCAAAATATTAAAGTGTTTATAATAGTATTCCTGTAGGTACAATATGAATTCATTGAACCTCATCAACTTCAGTGATGCTGAGCACTGAGCTGTGCACCTGAACAATGTAATGTAATAGATCTTATCAAAGGTGTCTATGAACATCCATAGGAAAGGGTATGGTAGTGAAAATGTTACGAAAGGTGATGTGATCCACATACATACAACTGATGTCTATTGCATTTGAAATCTCACAAAATCTATTACAGGTGTTCAGCAAGGAGTTGCTTCAATATCAAATGTTTCTTGACAGATGTTCAAGATAAAGTCACTGAAAACACTCACAAACCAACTGTGGGTGGTTGTTATCTTGCAAGATAAGTTACATCCCAGCATTATTTGATTTCTGCAAAGCATGCTTGACAACATGTGAAGCTATAATAGACTTAGTGAGATGTGAGATGATGCTGAGGTAGGTATGACAACCTGACATGTACTATGCATAGTGTGTTATGTCAGAATCAGTGCCTGTGATGTGACACCATAGTTCAGTATGGTATGTGCCAACTAGGTCTAAAAGTTGAACCATAAAGAACAAAGAAAAGACGTGAACATACACCACTACCAGAAATGTCAATGGTTAGAACATATGCAGCATACAAATGACATAAACCTGCAGTAAACTAGAAATAGCAAGGGTTGAAAATGACACATAGGAGGTTGAGTAAAGTCATATCGTTTCTCCCAGTTGAATGTACATACTCAATGTGTGATCCCAATCTCAATTTGCTGAGACATGCTAAGGGGCCATTGGTACCAAACATGCAAAAGGTTTTCACCATCGCATTGATGTACTCATGACAGGGATTGAATCTTTTGGTGCTTGCACCTGCACCTCAAGCATGTGGTCTTCATCAGTGTCTGGAGCCATTTTTGCCCAAAGTACTGCTTTCCATCAGTGTGAAAGACCATGTTGTGAGCCCTGGCAAGACACACAGGGTTTGGACATTGATAGATATCAAGACCCCATGGCCTTGTGTCCTTGAAGTTTGAGTAGGCTAAGACTCAGGTTTTGATGATATGCTCCCTAGTATTGGGTTTGCCCTTCACAGCCCAATATTCTGTGTACAACAGCATGACAAGAGTATTGTTCAGGGCATGTTTGTCTTGGCCAAATAATGCTTGCAACACAGCCCAAATACCCATGTCATACATGAACACATTTTCAATGAAGCAATTGAGTGTGGAGATGATAAGAGCATTGATGGTCATTACTCCTGCAAAGCAGAAAACAAAATCAAAGATATTCCTGATGTGTACAATGTCAGCTACAATGTCAACAAGATTGAAGCAGTCACTGACATTTCTACCAAACATTTCAGGTGTTTGATGCTCTTGCTGACTCTCCCAGTTGAACCACAGGAGGAAATGACAATCCCACAAATGAATGGTCCCACAGTCAAGGTGGTATTGATTTTCCCAATGTGTTGTGAGGTGACCCAGAGATTATTGCCCAGATAGTTATGTAGCAACTAGGCAGAAATGATTAATGACAATACGCACTTCATGTGGTGCCATGCTGAATAACATACTTCATGCACCAGAATTGAATTTGAATTAGCAGCATTTACAGATACCACAAGGTTCCCTGTGGCGGTGTCAGAATGTGTGTCTATAAAAATTAGTAAGTTGCCATGATACTTCATGCTTTCAAGCCATTCGAAATCGGGTGTCATAGCACTTGGACAGTTGTTGCCAGCTTTCAATTTATGTGATGTGATACACAACTATTCCTGTCTTACTGAATATCCCCGAAGCTTCTACTAGTATCATTCATCATCAGTATATTGATTGTTTCCTGGAAAGGAATGTGACACACCAGGAGTGGCTTTCCACATGCTCTATAACATTGTGGACAGAGAAACCTGCTGGCATCAACATTGACCACCAGGGTAAGCTCATCTGGGGTCATATCAATGCAAGCTAATATTCCACAATCTGGATTGGTGCACTTCCAAATGTATGTCCCAATGTCCTGGCAGCATATGCAGTGCTGCGATCAAAGTCAGCATGTACTAATAGTCAGCAGTACAGTACATACCAAGATAGGATCCTGTATATTATTCAACTGCTGAATCAGTGGAACCAGAGACTCAATGTCCATCTTCATTTCTGCATCTTCATCTCTGTCACTCAGAATTGGAGTCAACTGTTAATAAGGTGAATTGAGGGACTTGGCATCTGCCTTTTTTTGCTGAAGCTTCCCTTGAATTGCTGCATCTTGTTGCACTCTCTTGGAGGCTCCAGACTTTGGTTCAGGCACTTGTGGAAGAGATTGTGAATGAGATTTGGCAGCATGTTCAGTATGCGTGAAACTTCCACATATAGTCCTTCTTTGTCCATATCTTAAACTTACTGTACAATCTGCAGAAAATGCTGGTGAACCTTAATGTTAACTAAACCTACAGCTACCATCAGATTAATAGACAAGAATCCATTGTTGTTCATTCACCCACTTTTGTTTACTTGTGAAGCTGGACAAACAAAAGGGTCCCACCTGTTACAATATTTCATAGGGCCAAACATCCCAGAATTGCATTGGACTGTGTGACTTCCATGATAAGGTACCAAGTGAACAAAAGAGGTGAATAAACAAAAATGGATTGTGGTCTATTGGTCTGAGGGTAGCTGTAAACTTGTTTGTCGTCCACAAATTTGAACAATGTGAAGTGAGGTCAGCCAGCAGCAAGAATATCAATGACATAATACAAGTGTCAGTTGAATGATATAACCATGTGACTAGTCCCAAATTTGAACAATTGCACCATGTTGAATAATTGCGATTTGACAAGTGTTGAGGACTCACAGGTGTGATGATTGATAAAGTCAATTCACCATACCTCTGGCACATTTCTTCTATCATTAAGCCTGCTTTGACAATTTCAGCACATGATTTTGCAGGCTATTTTTTTGACTCACAACATGTCATCCACCATGAATCCCAACAAATACACTACTGAAAACCCCATTGTTCTCAACATCAAGTTGCATGGTCTGTTGGTGACACAACAGGTTATGACCAAAGCCATTGAGTTACACATCAATCACAGCAGAACTAAACTAACACTTATCATTGATGCAAAACCAGTGTGTAATTATTGTCTGCCATCTCTCTGAGTGTTGAATGAGATATCACATCATAGTGCAACATTCCACCTCAATACCACAATGCTATGTGGCGCCTTCTTCACCATCGCAACATCTATCAAAGGACCGCCAGTAGGCTAATGGAGTATCTGGACCTGCATGTCACCAAGGACACCTACACATCTATCATGTATTATTACTGCAATATGCTGTTAGCATTTGTGGAAGAAGTGAGCGATAATTGGCAATGGAGCAACAAGTTGTGGTGCTCAGTACACCTAGACTATCATTTCACTATGGCAATACATGATAGTGCTTTTATTGAGCCCATGCAAGCAAATGCACTACGAAACATGGATCATACTTGGGATGATTTTAAATGCAAGAAAATCTACAAACCTGTCCTGGACCATATGTTAATATGACCTATCCCAATCACTGATTGTATGCTAATATAGTCAGGAAGTCACTGTTGACTCATACCACACAGAATTCTGCAATGAGAAGAACATGTGTGGCGTTCCAAACATCAAGCACAAGCATTCAGTAGATGACATGATTACATCCATAATCCAACAAGTGATTCAAAGTACACCAAAGCTAGCAGGGGCAGCTCAGGCAATGAAGGAGGATCACACTCATTCTGAAACCAATGCAGTTAAGGCCACAGTGGGGAAAATAGATTCTGTGATGTCTGACAGCAGATCCTCAGACAATGAAGACAATGATATGCACAAGGCAACCAATGTGACGATCATGTTCAGGCTGGCTTGCTAGGACCCCATTCTGCAATCCCCACCCAGTCCACACATCTCCTACCCATCTCCAATGTTTTCCCGCCATCTCTGCATCTCCGATGCATTGGACCTGCTTGGAGATCCTGTGCACTCGCCCTACCATGTCCAGTCCAGTCCTGCTTAACCCCACTGGTGCATAGCCAGTTACTTCCCATTACTGATTGAGTAGACAGCATTATTACATGGATTCCCACTGGCCGCAGTACCTCATGGCCTTTTACCTACATATTATTGGACCTGCATTTTTACTACTACTTTCACCTATGGACTCTGGACTTTCACATAGCTAGTTATATAGGGTTGGGCAACCAGAATTACAAACACCACTTAGTAGGAGGGAGAAATCCCTGATACTGGTCACCCCATACCTGTCCTTAGAGTTACCCTTGCCAATATACCTGTTTACCTGCTCTCTTCGACCCGACATGAGTGTCACTCATTTATCTGATGTTCCCTAGCATCTCCAAGCTAGTCCTGATGCATTCCCTCCCTTTCCCTTTCTCTCCTGCCATCTCCACATCTCCACACCTGTGGACCTGATTTCCCGTGCACCAGACTTCATCCCATACCTTTGGACTTGATCTCTGACCTTCGGACTTTTGACCCTTTGTGTAGTACTGATTATTGAACTTGACTAGACAGCAGATCCCTCAGGTTGAACATTCTTGCTTGCAGGTGTAGCAGCTAGGCAGGACTAGTAGACATATATTGGCTAGGTGTTCTAACAACTATCTAGCTAAGTTGTGTTATCCACACCGATTTGGTTGATCTGAAAGAGGATGGATTGAGTTTGCAGAGAAATCAGAAAGGCAGTCATCTCAGACAGGTTTGTTTGTCAATATGCAGGAATGTTACTGATTGTGCGATGGAATATTATCTAGGCTGCCCACATGGCTTCTAGCAGGGATGACAATGTGATTGATATGTCATTTATATCACTCAAGACACAAGAAGTCCACAACAAAGTGAGAATGGCTTGCAAAAGAAATGTACATGTCATCTGACATACACTTCATTCACTGATATTGTGAATCATGCAGGTCCCATGCAAGGCATTGCCCATGGAGGAGGATAAAGTCAATCAGGCTGCAGATGTGTTCGAGTCAAATGAGGATGCATGTAAAGGCCAGAGAAATCAGAAAGGTGTCCATCAAAACAAGGTTAGTGTCATGTGCATTGTCTACATGTCTTCAACATCAGTTTGTCTTCAGCATACTATTGGAAGTGCAATGTCAGATCGACAATCCAGCAAGGTATGTCTCAATCTACATACATGAACCTCATACCAATTTGGATGGGTCCAATACATCAGGGTCATTCCAACTGTCCATCAAAAAACACCACCACCAAGGCCAAACAAAAGGTGATTACTATTCTGGACTCTGATGATGAGGTTAGTGTATTGATTCAGGAGTAACAATTGATAGGATTCACCCTTTCACCAGGGTACAACAGGAATCAGTGAAATCATCATTGTGGCTGACTTGGAGGAGGAGGTAAGCATGCTTATATATCACAAGGAACATGCATGGTCAAGAATGTCTCTCAGGATCTCAATGCAAATGTCAAAATACAGACATCACAAATGGCTATGCATCCACAGTCTGGTGCTATCAGGGCTGACACAAAGGGCAAAGGGAAGATGATCTTACTGTCTGATGATTCTGATGTTTGTTTGTCAATCCATATGTTGATTCACTCTTAACTCATTGCATTAACAAGGTTGAATCTGGTGATGCTGCCTGCCCTTCTCCTCTACAGAGTGCTTGAAATATGACAGAAGTATCAGAACCAATGGTCACATGAACCTTGCTGCCTGCAGGAAGGTCTCAAGTCAGTTTTATATTCACCTACATCTTGCTAGTACATTGACCAATGAACTCTTATGATTTTCTGCAGCGGATGTGTAGTGTGATGGATGGACAGTCTCATATAGATCTACCACCAGTCACTGCTGTCAGCTGTTCCTAGATGTTCATCAGCAAATGTGTCATCTGACATTATGCAGGAGGATCTTCAACACTTCAAGGACACTGACTTTCCATCGATGTTTGAAGACTGGGAGGAATGGAATCACATTGTGCTTCAGAAAGGGAACTCACAAGTGTTCCTCAAACTTGGGACATGGATCTTGCTTCAATTCAGACAGCTGATGGAGACTCCCATTCATGGGTATGTTGAGGGACTTCTGATTCTGGACCATCCTGCGGCTTTTGACATCAATAATGAGGTGGACTACTGGGAGGCACTCAGGATGACACATCTTTATTCTGCGCTGACCCATGTGGACACACATCCAGAGTACCTCTCCCATCTGTTCCACAAACTTGGGAAGGCATCATGTGAGGGTCAGTTGGAAAGTAGCAACCCTGGCTTGAGGCCACTTCCTGAACTGCCAACTCCTGTTCTTAGGTGTGTATTTCCATGCCTAAATTGCACAACTAATTCTCCTTATAGTATGATGGTTAACAAGCAGCTGCCATGGTTGAAGGTTCTGCCATTCGAAGATTTCCTTGACTCTGATGATCCAGATGCTAAAGGTGAATCTGATGATTGGGATGGAGACACATCCATATCATTAGTGCTTGAGGACATGGTGATTTCTGGAATGCAAGATTTATTGGATGAATTGAAGGATCAGGGCATACCAAAACACAAGAGGACCACCTCCACAGTGGTATCACCCCCCAAGGAGACATCACTCAGTTGTAATTACCCTTTTGTGATGATTGTTCCTTACAAATCATATTGTCTCAATAGGCTGACAGTGGTTGAGGATATCTGAAGTGATGTAGGGCCAATCATGCTCAGTCATTCCATCATCCCTCCTCGCCTGTCATCCAACCACCTATGGCAGGATCGCATACCAAGGCAGTCAACAGTGGGTCTGCACAGGTTGTGGGTGTTCCTATTGAGGTACATTTCACATCAAAACCATGCAGGTCATTCACAATGGCTGATAATGATTGTGATGAGACACTATCAGGATCTGTGATGACATCCGATGCACATGTCATACTTCCCAGTCCTGTGGATGATGATGGGGCTGTCCATGACATCAGTGCATGGACCAAGAGCAATGATAACTCTCACATGCACATGTCATCTCAGTCAGAGGCTACCAATGTGTCAGAGAATGTTGAAGATGACAGTCAGGACATTGTTCATGCTGTTGACATGGTTGATGTGGAGACTGGAGATGGAATGCGCAAGTTCAGTGCCATATCTGAACCACCCACCAGTCACACATCAAATCTTGATGAAGATGTGAGGGTCCTTGCTCCTTCAACACCAGAATAACTTAATGGATTCTGTAGGAGTGGTTCATGAACATGTCAGGCAGATCACTGGCTCAATAGTTTCTTTCCTCCAGTTGACTCTCCATGCGTTGAATTCATACATTTGTACTCAATCCCTTACTTTCTTTGTTGATCAATCCATATCAGTGTATAGCATTATGAATGGAAAAATAGAGCTTAATGGAATCCTTCATGACTGTGCATGTGTCATTTCCTCAGGACAGATTTGAGTGAATATGAAATGCCTCAGAATGTATCATAGCTCCACTGAACGATGCATTGTCACTCACCCACTGTGAATGCAACTATATAGCACAAATATTCACAATGGTCAAAATACACCAACTTTGTTACACTCAACAATGTTGTTCTGAAACCCCATGCATTCTTCTGCAACATCATCATATATTCTCTGAATTGCCACAGAGAGTCCACATGAGATCGGATTGATTTCTACCCTGGAGAAACATGAAAGAGCAAGAAATAGTATGTGTTTCACAGAGCATCCAGACATTCATGCTTTAAGCCACACAGTGCTTTCCCCATGTGATCACAAACAGAGATTGAGCAACTGTGTGCTTTATAAAACCGTATAGCAGATCTAATACAGCTTTTATGCTCTTCCCTGAATGTTCAAGTACAGTGATGTCCATCAATGTGCATCTGTTAAGGTCATACTCAAGGGATAACTGGATCTGAAGGGCTTCGGCCTCAGCTCATGCACTGTGCCCCTTACCCAAGTATTGCCCCTTATTTCAGGAAGGCAAGACTAACGTGTCCAGAAGGTCGGACGAGTAGCATAGTGGATCTGGATGACTTCCAGATGAGGGATAAGTATTGTAGGGCTAATCCAGATGAGTCCAGACTAGAAACTAACAGTAATGGACTGTCGGAGACAGAGGCGGATACAGATAGACTATAGGAATCAATCCTAAGTCTTGGAGGGTGACGAGAGTAGAGATACTCAAGTCTGGAGGACAGGAATGAGTAGAACTAAGATGATATTTGAACTGAGGTACTACAGAAAGTTACAGGAGGTTATATACTATAGGTATCTAATGGAATGATCAATCAGCAGAGTCTGAGGCTATGTATGAAGCATATGGATAGTCTATTGGTAAGTAGAAACAGATCACAAATCATGAAATGGAAATGAAACATAGGTAATGGGTCAGGGAGCAGGACAGATATACAGATAGCCGATATACTGGAGTTAGGGGATTTGCCGAAAAGAGACGAGCACTGGTTGTGGATTTGGATGAATTGTGGACCAGACCAGATGAGTGGACAGGATGGATGACAAGATGTTGGAGGGAGATAAGATGTGGATAGGATCAGAGATAAGATGTGGATTGGATCTGAGATGAGATAAGGATTGGATCTGAGATCTGGATATGTGGATATGACAGCATCACTACATTCAGAGTGCATGACATCTACTGAAATCATCAGATATGTAACTGAAATATCTATCACTCCTACTTGCTTCCACTAGTGTAGAGTGCTTTGTACAGTAGTGTGTCTACCATGAAGGTACATCAGTGGCTCAGCTTATGTCAGCATTGATGACTAAATCCAATACATCTCAATTCTGCCACCATTATTTGGCTTCACTCTGGATCATTGATTCTTAACCATCACTGTATCAAAACCTTCTTTACACTAAAAATAAATGACATTTGAATGTCACATTTGCTCTGTATCATCAATTATTGACAATAGCAATTGAAGAGGAGCCATACTACATGCAATCAGCACCATCTCAATGGACTCTACTGTGATGTTTCAGATCACGCCGCAATGTGCATTGATACTAAACTTTTGTTGCACAAGCAAGGATGGCAGCAGCGAGAACGAAAGATTTGACTGTGGGACTGTTAGGGAAGGAGGTTAATGAGAATAGTCCACAGGTAACATGGAATGATGGCCACACCACAATACTCCTGACAGTATATGATCATTACAACACCAACATCTGCGCTGCAGTCAACATCCTGATCATCAAATATCTTGCCCAATATCCAGCCTCAACACCAGATTCACAATTCACCATGCACATATCAAATCTTGACATCCCAATGTTCAAGTTGCATGACATGATTGGGAACTCACTGAGTCAGAATAAGTCTGTGGCACTTAGAGGTATTGGGCACCATGACCAAGATGTCAAGTTGACACTTGAATACCTGGAAGAACAATATGCAATCTCCCCAAATAGGGCTGTATGGATTCATGGTAGCATCAGTCCTCTTTGTACATGCATGGAAGTGACTGAAAGCATTCATAGATGTCATGGCACACTCTATCGATCATACACAAGTCACAAAAGCAGGAGTACTGAAGTCCTTCTTTCAAGTGATGAATGATCCAAATGAAATTCAATGTGTTTTAGACATACCACTTGCACAGGTGTTGTTGCCAGACTGTGTGAGGTGAGTCACATGCATCATCATACTCTCACATTAGACATCTAATTCTTAAAGAAATATCAATCACAGCATCACACATGGGTGGAATGAAAACACATATGACATCCCAATCACATCAAGTGTTCACCCAGAAAACTTCACAGTCAAGGGCTGGGGGCTTGTACACCATGCTGGATACATCACATATCTGCACCACAATGCTGAGGGGATCTTGATGTGGTTAATAATGGATGTAGGGGTGAAGTTCTGGGTCTTATTATGCCCAAAGGATCGACACCATGATCGCAAGCACCTTCAAGACTTTGCCATTAGGCTAGGCAACTTTACTGAAAATGAGTCTTGGATCAGAGTGCATTGTGATGCTGAAGTGATAACACTCCTCCCTGGAGACATGTTGTAGGTGGTGTTCAATAATGGGAGACATATTCTGAAACACTTTATTATAGAATCATGCTACCATGGCAAGTCCACACCATTTACACCCCAGTGGCATCCTTCACAATGGGTGGTCATTTCTACCACTATGCATGCATGCATCTCACTGAACTGTCCTGATATTGTGATGTAACTGTGGGCAACTGCTTAACTAACCAGAATCTATATCATGCCCTTGTGTCATATCCCATATGCCAGACATAGATCCCATCATATTCCCACGCTTTCCAGACCTATTTCCAGACCCCATATCTGACTCATTCCCAGATCCCCTTCTGCTGTGTGCTCCATATCTAAGCAGGATTAGCTCTGCTATGGAATTACCCCTGAGCTCCAGACCTCCAAATCCTCACTACTAGTCTGATCCATACACCCCTATCCTGTCCACCCTATGCACATTCTGTCCAGCAAGACATTCAGACTTTACCTCCTCTCGGATTCCAGACTACATCCACCACCTCACATATCTCAGTCCTGTTTCCGCCCTACCTTCCAGATCCCCAGATCTCCAGACCTCTGGATATTAACTGTTACTATCTCTGGACCTATTCCCACCCTCCATCCAAGATCCTGCACCTATCCCCATTTAGGCATCTCCACCTTTCCAGTTCTTGGTTATCTCTGTTTCCATCTTGCTGATTGATCCTTGTACTAGTTTCATCTCTGAGTTCATTTACTTATGTTCCATCTTACTTACCAATGTGTTTCCACATGCTTATACATAGCCTTACTCTGTTGCTTACTGATCCTCTTGGATATCCTCTAGTATATAACCCCTGTACAACTCCTGTAGAGTCCTCAGTCTGAATATCATCTTAGATCTGTCCTCACACCTTAGATCTGCCCAATCATCTTCTGGACTTCAGTCCATCTGAGTCTTGTCCTTTTCCATAAGGCCTAGGGAAGGATTCCCTAGGCCAGAATTCTGGACCTTCAGATTTGTCCCCTATGTCTCTGTCCCAAGTCTAGGGATTGCTTCCCTAGACTGGAGTCTTGCCTTTCCGGCACTTACCCTCTCTCTAGACTTTGGTCCACTTCCTGTCTCTCTGACTCTACCTAAGGGTAGTCTACCTCTGTTTGCTTCTACATCAGACAAAGTCTGATGTAGCCCCTATTTCTTCCTAACCCTCAGACCTCCTGTCCTCCATACTCCGGACCTCCTATCCTTCTATCCTGTTTCCTGTAGAAGTATTACCTTGCAGTGGGAACTCTCCTGAGCATTTCCTGCATTCCTCTGGAATTCTCCTGTGCTCCTCCAGACATTTCCCACACTCTTCCAGAAGTCCTCCTGCACTCTCCACCAGAGTAGCCAGCCTCTGGAAGTCCTTTGGACTTTGTCAAACCATCATTGGACTTCCTTTGAAATGAAGGGCACATACTTGGGTTAGAGGCACAGGGTATGAGCTGAGGCCAAGCCCCTCTGAGTCAGTCACTCTCTCCCTTGAGCATGGTTCTTAACACCTTGAGACACTGCAACACATGATGCTTGCCATACCACACTTGTCACCTCGAATCAGTAAGACCAGTATGTTATTATTTACATAAATTTATCACTAACAATTGATGATTAGAACTGTTCAAGAGATCATTGCTCGCCTTGTGTGTTATGATCACTCAAGGGAAGGCATATAGAGTGAAGAATGGCTCAATATCATCTGTGGTAGATATGGAAACAGCTGGGATCAGTGCTACAATAGCACATGCAATCTCTGGACATCTCAGAGTCACCAATCAGAAGTCCATCCCTGTCTTGCTATACAAAGGGGATCAGTTTGAAAGAGGAGAACTTATTACATGAATGGCACTTGTCCAAGTGTTGGTCCCATTTACTGCATTGTAGGATTTGATGTCATCGATACTCCTCATATTCCATTGTACAATACTGACAAGACATTCCACACCACACTGTCATCCTCCAATGTCATCAGAAATGATGTATACAAATGTTGGCTATGTGTAGCCTGAGGCAGGAACTTATTGTTCTATCATCAAAGATGCATTCAATGTATCAGTGTTCATGATTGTTGATATCTGGCTGATTCAGTGTAAAATACATTGCTGTGATGTAGTGTGTATGGTGAATCCATCCTAAGGCTTTCAAGGTGTGCTCATTGGTGTCTGTTACAACCATGTATGCCCCTATTCATTTTCTCTCTCTTACTGTGTATTACATCATGAGCCACATGATGCCACTGCTAGACTTATCTTTGACTCATACCTTGTATTACATCACAACCACCATTGCCATCGCTAGATGACCTATTCTTGCTATTGCTTATGTGTCCTTTATCTCTGACTCATATCTTTCTCACATCTGCCCTAAAGTACTTGTAGTTCACTATAAATAGTTCTCTTGTATGCTTTAGTTCTGCACTTTAATCTTACTAGGTTTTACCTGAAACATCCTTCACTTGAGACCTCCAATCTCTTGTCATCTGAACCATACTTTAAGTTGGAAGCACTCCTTCTGACTTAGCTTACACTGAATGCTTGACTTATTGTCTCGTGTAGAATCTCAGCAGAGGTCCTGACTCTTATCAAGTCATCTGTCATTAGAACTATCCTAGTTCATAACAAAAGATTAAAGTCCTTATCAAACCTCTCCATTCAGGGAGGCCCCAGTAGCTCAAAGCAAGACAACCCCTTGGGTTAGAAAGTATTGGTGGGAGAGCAATCTAAACAACGTCCCCAAAGAACCAGAAGAAGAATATCATGAGGCCACAGGTCCAGATATCACAGAAGGCAGACAGAGATAAACACTGTTCCCTGTAACCACTGAACCTGATCATCACTCAACTACATCAGTAGATGGATTCCCAGAAGAACAGCCACCCCGAAACCTTTCTGCACATCCCAGTATCAGAATGTCTGCTCCTATGTCTACATCCAAGCTCAAGGCCGGAACACCCAACAACTATGATGGGAGCCCTGACCAGGCATTGAGATGGTTGTTTTCGGTGAAAGCATACTTCACTGTTAATGTGTCGGTTTACAATACCGACGAGAGAAAAGTTATTACCATGCTTGCATATATGACTAAAGATAGTGCCATGGGCTGGGCATTAACATTTTACACCGAAGTAGACAACTCCGCCTCGAAATCCTACAGAACCTTTGCAAACTTTGAAATCAAGTTCAAAGAAGTGTTTGTGCGGGCAGATGCTGTTGGTACTGCTATGAATAAACTCCAAACCCTGAAGCAGATGGGTGACCTCACTTCCTATATTGCCAGTTTCAGGACCCTTGCCACACAAGCTTCCATAAAGCAAGATGCTGTCCTGATTACATTCTTCAATGACAGACTCAAGAAGGGAATTGGTAATGCCATTTATCAGATGGAAACTGTCCCTACAGACTTCAACAAATATGTCCAAGCCACTATCAGACTTGATGGTAATTGACAACATGGTGTAATATTCCATAACAACAATTGCACAACCACAAAGCCTACCAGTCAATGTTATGTTCTCAGACCCTCTATTGATCACCACAACCCCAATGCTATGGAGGTTGACCACCTCACTGAGGAAGAGAAGACTGAACACTACCAGAATGGCAAGTGTTTCAATTGTCACCAGAAGGGCCATGTTTCCTGCAACTGCCTGAAGAAGAAGAATGGCAAAACCCCTGTGCATCACACTGAACCAGCCGAAGAAGATGAAGAAGAAGTCCATCATATCAATGAGGATTTTTAATGTGGAAGAGTGGATCAATGTCAGTATCTTCCAATGTACCTATTAGACTTGTCCGAGGTGTAGGAATCAGAAAGGAACTTCATGTTCCTATTTCCCTTATCTCCAAAACCTGTCTGAAAACTGTCAAAATGACCACTGTCATTGACTCTGGAGCCACTGGAACCTTTATCTCCAAAGAATTTGTTAAGCTTCATAAAATTTGAACACATAAACTCATGAAACCATTCTGAGTAACCACAGTGGATGGAAGTTATGCAAAAGGGGGCACAATCACCCACTACTGCATCCTCATTGTGAAAATTGACGAATGATCCATGCTTGGAAAGTTCAATATCATGAAACTTAGCCATTGTGACCAGATTTTGTTAGGAATCCCTTGGCTGCATGCCATGGATCCAATTATTCAGTGGAAAGCTGAAACCCTAGAACTCTCTCAAACCAAGAAGAGTGATCTGATAGAAGAAGACATTGATACTGAATGAAAGAAGAACAATCTTCCTCCCCTCTTTCAGAAAACCATTAAATCTCTGATTGATAAAACATGGAAAAACTCCCATTTAAAGAAAAAAGAAACACCAGTTGTAGTGCTGCTGAAGGTGCCTCCTGTGCAATCCACACAAATAGAACCACTCCCCCAAGCAACAATAGAAGAAATCCCAGATAAAGAGGCACCCCCGGTTTTACCCAACCTAGACCCCATCCCTGATGATGATGACAACTCTTTTGACACCAAAGACGATGTTTGGACTTTGGACTATGCACTGCCCATACACAAACCTGCTATGTATCATCTCGATGATGAAGAATTTTTGGTTGAATATCCTGCCAATGCTACCAAGCTCCAGGTCATCACCAACATTTCTATGGACACCCCATTAACCAAAGATGGTACCAGTGCTGCAGAACAGAAACCCACAGTCACACCCTTGTCATGGCCCACCAAATACATCAAAACCAGTAACAAAGCTCAGCAGTTTGTGCTAGCAGCCAGGCTTGAACAGAAGAAGAAGTCATTTGAAGAACTTGTCCCTTCTTACCTCCATGACTTCACTGACATCTTTGCTAAAGATGGACTAAATCAGTTACCCCCAGAACATCCCAGAATTGACCATTGCATTGATACTAAACCTGGTTTTGTCCCAAAAACATTCAAGGTCTACCCATTGTCAGAAGCAGAACAAACCACCATCAAAGCATTCATTGATGAAAACGTACAGAAAGGATTCATCTCCAAATCGAAGTCACCACAAGCTAGTGGATTCTTCTTTGT